TTCATTTCCGGTGACTTGCAACAAAGGGTTTGCATAAGATTGTTTAATTTAGCTTCTTTTTTAAGCGATGTGATGTTTTAATGAATACGGATGCACTATTTTGGGGCGATATTTTGCACTTTCAATTCGGGATGGATTCAGAAATGGGTCAAGAATGAGTCAAGAATGGATCAAGAATGGATTTTAACAATAAACATCTTCAAATTGACGAAGAATTTTTTTTTTTAACGATCATTTTGACACTCAATTCAATTTCCAATTAATCACCTCGGATTAATCATTCAAGTTCGATCCAAGACTTGGATGTCCAGTTAACAGTGAATGGCTTTGAGCTATTTATATTACACTACTCAAGAGCATTGATCTTTGTGGTAAATCTCAGGCAGCCATCAATTGTAGAAATTTGTCATTTTTTGTGGTTTTGATGATGATGTGCAAAGAGGTAGTCAGCAAATTTTGATTAATTTTCCCGAAAATTTTCCATATCAATTTTCAATGCAAAAGCCGGATATTTGGAAGTATAGAAGAGGTCACCCGGGTAGGCCCGGACGCGACGCTTGAAAATCTTTTTCCGTTTGTTTTGGCTCCAAAAGTTTGAATGAAATTTTTAGAGAAAATTAATTTTCTTTCATATTTAAATTCGGATACAGGTTCTATATGCAAATATTGAATAACCTGTCGAATGACCTCTTGTTGAAAGTTTCAATTTGAAACTCGTGCAAATTTTTACGCTACAAAATTAATTAGTAATGCATTACAAAACTCATGAGTTTTGACAATTGTGAAATTGATAAGTGCAGCAAAGCATTACAAAAGTAATTTTCTTTGTATATATATTTTTGTTTCAGCGAATGATTTATTAAGTTAGATGAAGACTTATTTACTGAGTTCAAATCGATCATGAAGTTCAAGTGCTTGAATAGCATCACATTATCCACATTTTTCTCGTTTATATCGATTTGTTGATTCTACACTGACAGAAAAACTCGTTTTTTTCACTTTATTTAAAAATAAAACAGCATCCCGTTATGAACAGGATTTCATTTTTTTATGAATTTTTTTTATCTCTTCGATTTCAGATTCAATCTTCAATCATAATTTTTATTTAAATTTTCATTCGCTTTAACATTTAATTGTTTCCTCTTCACTTTTACACAGTATTCTTGAAAAACACGACCTGGGTCAATGTTTTCTCACATTGGTGATGCAAAATAGATCAAAACACACCTAATCACACAAATCGAATGAAATGAACACCTTAAACACATATCAATTGAAATAAATGCCGTTCAATATGCATAAAATAGAACAAGATACGCACCATTCGAAAATATCGATGAAATTAAAAATAAAAACAGTTCAAAACAAAACAAAATCAAAAAACACAAAATAAAAACCAAATCGGTTGCAAAGTTTTCACACACTGAATACAAATTCACTAGGGCAAAATAAACAATCTGATCGGTTTCATGCGTTGGCATCTACTGAGTACTTTGAAAAAAAGTTCGATGTCTTTAATCTCTGGCGTTGACCACACACCATAATCAAAGGCACACAATATATCAATCGATGACTCATTGCGGTTGGACAGTGCAGTTTTTCATTTGCATTCAATGTGTCTCGCTTTCTTTTTCAACATGCATCTAAGGCCCGCATACACGTCCGATTCAATGCGATGGAATGACATGATTTGTCACCCGAAGCAAAGCAAAGTAATGCCAAACCACAACAATCACCGCATTGACTTAATAATTCATAGGCTACCGACAAATTGCTAATCGTGTGTATCGAATAGTAGTCGAACAAGTTTTCTGTGTGAACTGCTTTGCCGCGTCAGGTGTGTCACAATTTATTTATTCCATTCATTAGACTAGATTAAATAATGTTTACACTTTTTTTTTCTCAAATGAAAACATAAAAAACTATCGTGTATTCATTATTTTCCAAACATTCGATTTCATTCTATCAGCACAACAATTGATCGTATTTTGCGTTAGTAATGAACGCGGAATTTCCGACCATTTCCTCAGTATTATTTTGTGAACGGGATGCGTAGTCAGTTTTGGTGTGATGCGTTCTGCATGTGTGTGTGTGTGTGTGTGCAACGGAAATCACACATGCATGACTTTCATGCGACACACTTTTTGTGTGAATCACGAAAATGATGAAATTAACAATAATTGCAACATTTTTGACTAGTTTTCGATGACCAGTTTTTCTTACCTGAACAATGAACATGACCTTAATATTGAACTAGCATCGGTTCGTTTATCTCACAACACGTTTATCAGTGCGTTGCAAGCAGAACGGCAATTGAACTGTGCACTGTGCAGTGTGTATAGTACACCAGTGTTTATCATACTATCGAGGGGATATTACTGAATGGGATTTATCAATGAATACACATTTTCAAATGTGAATCATTTTGTAAACGTAACCAGCGTAAATTAAAGATAATATTTCATTACATTTTATTGTTAAATCCATTTCCGCTTTTGAATTCACCAGCATCTTGATTCATTCAAAAACTGACGAGTCATGGTGTGATGCATAATAATTTCATTGCCACATCGAATATACTCGAATTTAAACATTTGATTTCATCAACGTTTATCTGAATATTTGTGAAATCAGATTTAATCGAGTTCATTATTTTTTATTTCTTGATAAAATACAATTGATAAGAAGACTACTTTTGTCATACAAAATTGGAATTAAAAAGTCTTTCAGTGCCAATAGCAAAAGAATAGCGGAGTTGAATTCATAACTTGGTTTTCAAGTGTGAAAACATTTGAGATTTTCATAAGATATACACTACCGTATTTTGTAACACATAATATGTTTGACTACATATTTTACCGGGTTTCTCTATGTACCAATTGTACATTGTACCATGGACGAGACCATAGAGGATCCTATAGTAACGGGTGTCACAAATGTCTTGAGAAAAATGCATAGCCTCATAATTGTAATATTTTTCAATATAAGATATGATCGAATCATTTAGTTGATCCCTATGCGACGCAGGGCCTGCGTGCAAAAGAAACACTTTTAAGGTGAAAATAAACAATAGCATCTGACCTGGAGCATAAAATATGCTGAAGCGGTTTTAAGTTCTGGGTAGAAAAATCATATTTTCTATATTTTCCTTCCATGATTTATGGAGAATAGTTTTTAGCTTAGAAGTTCTCTAAATCATAATCAAAGAGATTCCATCTGGATTTTTCATAGCCTACAATGTTTTGTAGTTGAGTTTTTTTTTTTCAATGATCAAAATTTCGAAAGATCGACCAATTTACAAATATGATTCAAAAGTAGCAAACTGGCTATCATTCATTTGGACTTCACAAAGGTTTCTTTTGAATGCTAAGAGACCAAACTAAATTATTTAGTCAGTTAAATTCAAATATATTGAGGAATATACATGGACTCGGATTTGTGGAGACAAAACTTTGTTTCAAGACTTTCGTGGATTTCTATACAAACAATTAAAATTTTAAAATTTTACGGACATTTTATTTGCTCAACGGTTTATTTGCATCATACAAATTGCATGTACATTTTTAACACATAGATTTAACGTTTATGCCGAAAACTAAACCAAAGAGGAATGATAAAATATGGCAAATGTTTAATAAACATTGTTTATGATACCAAAGAATAGATGTCAACTTGACATTGACAAGTCTTGATGGATGTACCTTTAGATAGAATAAAATCAAAACGAGTTCAGAGTTCGTTACCCGTTTCAACCCGGGTATGAATGAATACATTTATATGGTTGATAAATTATTGGATTTGAGCAAATTGAGAATTTGAAATTTCATCAAAACAATTGAAGTTGCCCAAAAAATTGTTTGTGATGTACCATAGCATCTTTCCAATGTATTCTAGTTACTAGCCATCTCGAACACCCACAATACTCTTTTGGTTGACCGAAATTTCGAATAAATAAATAATAAATGTTGGGCTATAAAAATTGATTCATTTTCTAATTGAGATTCAAGTTTCATGAATATTTTCAGTCTCGGGTTGTTCTTGGTAAGAGAATAACAAATATTTTCATATGGAAGATATCTCTTTTATGCAATATTTTTGATATTACAAGATGGTAAGCGCTGGTAAGCGCTGGTAAGCGCAAGATGAGAAGTGCTATCGTTTAATTCAAGAAGTTCTTGACAAGAACTCGGTTTAACCACACCCGAAGAAATGAGTTGTAACCATTTTTACATCACTTTTTTTCATTAACCACTTATTCGAAGAAACTTTTAATGGCAATGAAACTGAGAATTTGCGGTCAATATTTATTAAAATGAATAGCATTCATCCATTAAATTGAATTCATTCACCGTATTAAATCAAAGTTTCCCAAAATTATACACTTTTGTTTACTCTAAATCAATTCACCAATTCTATGAAAACGCAAACTCAATCAATGCAACGTAAGAATATAGTCTAAATCAAGGCGCTAAAATCGTTTCAAAGCAAATTTATTTCCGAAGTTTCAATTTCTCTTTCAAAATGAGTCTTGAATCATTCAACAAAACTGATTTCCATTAAAGCCCTCTTTGAATTGTTTTAAGCCTTGATTTATACAAAACTCTGCCTTGTGTCGTATACAAGAAAAATATATAGTCTAACTTCCGGAAACTTTTCCATTGTGTTCATCCCTTTGTGCATTTTTGGATTTCTTTTGGAAAAATAACAGCAAAAAATCAAACAAATTATTTTTCGCATTTATTTCCAATTTGAATTTTAAATTATTTAATAAATATTTTGTTAAAAACTAGCAATAAATTAGCATAAAAATAATGGAACATATGGTTTGTTTGTCTCAAATTGGGACTCTATCAAATATACAATACAAAAAGATGCGATGCGGTAAATGTAATTTATGATGATTGAAGGTGTAATATTCTGTAACGAGAGGATTTTACTCCTGAAACAAGATGAATACTTTTCCCAACACACTTTTGCAGGTGTGGGATAAGTACAAAAATATTTCTTTTCTGTTCAGCCTATTTGTTTTTACCGAGCATCTGATTATTCCATACAAAAAATATTCGATTTTTCAAATACTCGGTAGTTAATGGGTTAAACACAGCTATTGTTAACGAAAAATATGCTTAAATACAACTAATTTTGCATAGTAAACAATAAATTAAGAACTAAATATACGTAGAAAACTCTAGTATTTTTACATCACTCAGATGTGTGTGTAATGTTGCTTGTTTACAGTGGACATATCAATGTAGCAATATTGATGTCATTTTCATCCACATTTCGAATGGAAAGTAGGACTTGGTTGTTGTGATCGCCATATGAAACGAGACGAACCGAAGTAACATCGCAAAAGATTGCTTGTTCAGGTCCAATCACTTCGGTATGACCACATACCATCGTTGAAAGTTGCATGTTAACTGTGTCCAAGTCTTTGGAGCCACCAATAGCCAGATGATCCGTTGTACTTTCACACTGAACAGGAAATTTGTGGGAAATAGAAAGATTCTTTATGAAATGATTTGAAGAATGGTGAGAAAAAAATGTCAAAAATTAAACGTGTAAAAATTGACTTTCTTCAACCCGGTAACTCCTGAAGTCCAGGGGATACGTGGTTTAAGTTATCAAACTAATCAAAAATTGTAATTCAATGAAAAATTAAATTTCAACGCATACATCATAATTAGCAGCATCATGTCCAGGTCCAACATTGATAGCTCTAAGCGTCACTACGGACGGACTCATTGCAGATAGGGTGCAGTTTCTTTTCGCACCATAGTTTGATAACGAGTAAAATGGGGCGGTTCCCTCAACTAGAATATTGCAGGCTGGAATAGAATAAAATAAAGTAAACAGACCAAAAAAATGATTTCCATTTTCCTTTTGATAAGGCACATAGACGTTAATAAAAGTTGCACTCACGTGCTGGATTTTCGAAGAACTTTACTGTTGCCACAAATGAGCCGTGAACAGGTATGCGGTATTGTAGTAATGCTGCATTTTGACTAGATCGGAACCGTTTGCGTAGCTGCCGGAATGGCCATTCAGCGTTATTATTGCAAAATTCATGGACTCGTTGATCTATTGGCAAATGATGGTCTACTTCATTTGGGAAATACTTTCCATTCAATTCCCAGCCATCGAAGAACTGTAATCGTTATTGAATTTCAATGATATTTACATAATTTTAAAGTTTTTTTTTCCCAATCCAACAACTGGAAACGATGCACACTTCAACAGTAAAAGTACGTCGGAGATTTTAACTTAATTTCAGCATTGTCACTTGTACTTACTGATGTCATACCCCATTAACGTACTTGCTATCACATGTGCGAGCAAGTTCGTTATAGATATGTCACCGCCAAAATCTCAAACGTACTACTTTGATTATACTTTTTGTACTTTTTTTTCTTCTAATATTTACCGCCAACAGAGCTCCAGTTTCACAATTAGCATCCAAGTACTTGATAGAGATTTCAACAACTTTATCTGGGTCGGTTAAAATATACAATCCGCAAGCGATTGCCGATGGTTCTTCTACACCTAGCACCTTTTTGTACGAGTAATCACCTTCCTCAGACGCAACATGGACACATTCTGTGTGATTGAAAGCGATTCAAATTAAATTATTTGTTTTCCAATTGTTTTTTTCTTTTGAAAATTTAACGAAAATAAAGAAGCTCAAAAGTTTTTTCTGTTTGTTTTTGTGCCAAATCCAGTTTTTCTAGAGATGTTGTAAAACTTATTCGAAACTTTTTTTCGATGTTCGTCACAGAAATGAAGTTTTTTTTTAGTAAAAGAATCTTCTACGCACGACATCGACTTACTGACGTAAGTAAGTATTCCATTGTACCGAAAACTTTCAATATTTCCTTCCATTGTGTTCATTTCGTGAAAATAATTTTTTGTTCATTCTTCGTGCAATAGACTCCCTGCATCGACTTTTAGTAAAGTCATTTTACATTGTATTTTCCTTTGGGTGCACGTATTTATGGATAGAGTTTAGTGCATCAGACAATGAAAAGAGCATGCTTCGCTAAAAGCAGTTATAATTTTATGTAATTGCAAAACGGCATTGTTTCGATCTAATCTGTTTCTCCCTTTCTCAATTCTTAATTATGTAACCATGCACAGCCATAACATGTATCATTTTAATGGCATGAACGATTCGAAGTTGCATCTTGTAGGGTATATTTGGATATGAATCGTAATAACTATTATTTATTGTGTTACATTTGAATTGAAATATCAATGTAACCAAAAATTAATCGAGTGAAAGGAAATCACTATGAAGAAGTGAATTATAAAGGTGAATATGGTTTTAGCATGAATATGAATCGATTTGTATTGACGTCAGCAGTGGCAGTGGCAGTGGCAGTGGCAGCAGATGAGAGATGGTTCTGAGACAGATGGTACTCACCCGATATAACATGAACAGGATTCTGTCGTTCAAGATATTCAAACGGTACACGTACTGATGACCAAGCCTGTAAATAAAATGAAAATAATGAACCATGATATCGGTTCGGCAAATCTAATAAGAGAAAATTCATCAAATTTTAGGGCATTTATCAACCAAATAAATTCAATTGAAATGTTTACTCGATTCGAAATTTTTGATTCAATGCCCGAAAATCCCAACTCAAAATATCATTCATTCATTTCTCATCATTCAGAGCATCCGCTCTTAATTCAAATACGTGGGATTCGAACGTCGATGACGTTCATCATTTTGGTGACGACGATTTTTCATTCAGTAATTTTTCACTATTCATCGTTTATTATTACATTTTCGTACGCCATCCGAAATAAGTGTGTGTATTGATAGCCCAGAATTAGTGGGGGTCTAGTGATTCAATAGCATTGATTCAATCCAAAATTCAACTGAATCCCCCTTTCAATAGATACTAAATTAACGAACAAAGCGGATTGTGAAGAAATTGTGTGCATTGAAACATTCAAGATCAAGTATTGAGATAGCGGATTTTCCAGGAATAATATGCTGTTGAACCTAGGGGCTTCACGCGATTTTGCAGAACGCAAATAACTCTGAAAAAATAAAAATAATAGTGAATCAAACCTTCAACCGAAAATTTGAACCACTTTTGAAGGTTTTTGGTGGATAACGATGAATATTGGAAAAAAATTTGACGATACAATCTGCACAAATTTACTAGTATGCACGTCAATCTCAAATATCTATGTATATTTAATAATATTCATTAGACTGTAATGTCAAAAATGTTCCAATATTCACCGTTATATACCAAAATCAATCAAATTTACGGTTGAAGGATTGATTCACTATTATTTTTATTTTTCTTACGTATAAACGTAAATTTGGCATATCTATGTATATTCAGTAATATTAATTTGTCGTTCACGATGAATATTGTTGAATATACATTGATATTTCGGATTTACATGCATACCATTAAATTTCTAAGTTATTACTTGATGCGTGCGGATATAAAAGATGAAAAAAATGATTTTTCCCCCTAGTGTTGAACGTTGCGTAAGATTCAATTTGAGCTGGATTTAACTGAAAATACGAAGCAAAAAACTCAACTGAGCACAGTTTTTTTACCCGATTGAGTGCAATTATAGTGAATAAATAGGGAAAGCTGCTTACGAAGATCATCTTTGTTTATAAATCCTTCATACGTTCGAGGAAAAAAAGAAAGTTCAACGTAATAATATTTGTTCTTCAAATAAAATTATCAGAATAACAGCAAGATGCTCGACTGCTTCTGCGTACGTAAATCAATACTTCCGTTTTCAATCTATCAACATTTTCGCACCAAATTATCTATAATCTCGTAAATTTTCCATCTTTGTTCGTTCATTGAACGAGCATTTATCGAGAACGTGTGCTTCCAGCCGCTGCTAACAGTTTAAATGGGCTTGGATTGACTTTAAATGAGCTGTTATAGATTGGGACAAGGAAAAATTCGTGACACCTAAGGATTTCGGCGTTGATATTATCGAACGGAAAATTTCATGTCTTACTTTATTTATGAACCGAAAATGGAATTTAATGTGATATTTTTTAGATGAAAAAACGCCTCTTAGAAGCACTTTTTCTCATGGCATGTGGGCGTGCGATATGGAAAATTGAAAAAATATTGAAAATGTAAAGGAAACAAAAGCTTCATACAAAAGAAGATCATTTTGATGGTGCACAATAAATAACATGTTTAGAAAAAAAAAACTTTTAACCATCGAGATTTCTGTATGGTGTTTGTGGCTGCACCCACAGTACATGTACTCGATAACGGATCGAATAATGCTTGAATTCACCCCAAAAAATGTTTCAAGGGAACTGCATGGAAAAGCGAAGGTTCTTTCTTCTTTCGTTTTTCCTTAATTTTTCATTTCATTCTAAACTTTTTCTTGTTTTTTTCTCTTTTTTTTCTTTCATAATCATAACAGTTGACCATGAGCTTGAGAATCGTTGCTCACCACCACGTTCAATTTAATTGAGCTTCGATAGAATAGGATAGAGTGTTGTTGTTGTTATTGTTGTTGTTGTTGTTGTTGTTGTTGTTGTTCAAAGAATGAACGATTGCCGACGTCGTTGTTGGCCTGACATGCATATTGAATTATCAGCAGCATTAAGTGCTAGAGGTAAATGGGGGACTTTCTGATTTATCGCACGGAGAAGACATGTTTTTTCGATAATAATCATTTTATGTGGCGATTAAATGTACGAAAATAAATGTATTTTTTTGCGAAAAAGTAATGCACAGAGCGTCACTTGTCCTCCGTGATGAAGTGCTTTAACTTGAAATTGCTCACTCTTCTTCTACTTTTTATTCGCGCCACTTAATTGCAATTAAATGGTAATAAAAGCGATGAAAATGAATTGAATTCTCACGTAATTTCTTCTCTTCACCGCTCAACAACATGAGGATATTTGGGTATTGTTCTAGCTCGTTCTTTGTTCTGAACTTTTTGAAAGTCGAAAAGCAGCGCAAACACACACACACACATTACGAAACTATTTAGTAAAGTCAATATGTATGTATATGAAAGTGCTCAGTTCCTGGGTCAATTCAGAGAAAAGTAGTTTTGATGTAACGTATGTATGGTTATGTATTGTGGTGGTATGAAACTACACTATAAATTTGTCACCGAGTAAATTAGCATTGAAATGTACGTCACAACAGCGTTAATTGATTCATTTTCATGGATGGATGCAGTGATGCTATTAACACCATTACTAATGATGCTGGGAAGCATGAATAGAAAATTGGCGTAAAAGTCTTTATAATTAATACACACACACCCATGATTCGTAGTCGCAATTGGATTATATAGCTACTATAATGAACACACGGGTTGCTGTTGGGTGCTTTCGTCTTTTATATTCATTTCGTTTCACTTTCTTCGTTTTTATTTTCGCGTAATTTTCTTAGTACCCACATATATAATACAGACAGAGCAAAAATGACTCTTCCTGACGCGAAACGCACGGCAAAAGAAAAAAACCAGCAACCGTACGTTAATTAATTTCGAAAAGTCGGGGAATTTTCATAAGTCGTATGCCGAGAATTGTGGGAGTGTGTTTCTATGGTGAATGCAACGAATGTATTCTCTAGTATTGAGAATCTCCACCTAAAATAATCGTGATCTTCCCTTTGGTTCTTTTCATTCACTCAGTGATGCTGGGCTTTTGTTTCAAATGCTAGCGCTTATGATAGAAGTAAGAAAAACAGTTTTTTTTTCTAGAACTTATTCATTGCGATACACACTAATGTACGGAACAAGCAGAGAATGACATTTTAACAAAGTAGCCAGTTCAAACTGGTTACATAATAATGAAAAAAAAAATTAAGCTTTTCGAATGGAAATGGTTTTTCTCTGTGCCCAAGTTTTTCCGTTGGATGTTTTCGTAACGTGGTCGCTGGAAGGTGAATGGCAAAATTGAAAAAAAAGGAGAAACTACACAAATGGAGCATAGCTCAAGCGAGATGAAGAAGATGGACGGCAAGACTGTGGCTGTGGGAGATGTACGTTTTGTGTTATTATCATTGTTGTGCAGGCAACAAGTTTATTCACTTTGTGTCTCCCCAACCTCCTCTCTCCGTTGGTTATCCCTTTACCGTTTGCTGTGCATAATTGGCCATTTTATTTCCAATTAAAAATTTCTCAAGTGGAAAATATTCGTCCTCATATATATTCAATGTTTACAGAAACAATCAACAAACAATGACATCAATGATGATACATCCTTTGAACGAGAGGATGACTTAATGTGCCTTTGACACTTTTGTGAACGAAAAGTTTTTTTTTGCTTTCAAATGTACCGAAATTAGACGAACGAGTGAAAAAAAAAGAAGGAGAGAGAAAGAGACACATCGCTTGAAGCGTCCCTTTTTGCGTAGGAAAACTCAAAACTTTGTCTATTTGTTTGGTAATTTTTGATCAATGAATGACATGGAATCATGGGACCGAAAAGCGCTTCAAACTTTTTCCTCCGACCATTGAAATTGATGCACGTCGTTATGTTGAAGTCTATAAATATTGAAAGTACTTTCAATGGAAATTTCGTATGCGATTCGATTTGGGTACGTGTGCGTCTGTGTTGGCTCTTCAAAGGAAAGTTAGCACGCACCACATCGCACTTAGTTTGAATTTTTTTTATTCACTCGTTTGTTGCTGCCATTGTGGACCCCGAAAAGAGTACTTTGTCGTTCAACTTTTGGCGCTTATCACGCCAATGGCATAATCTCACTCTTGGGACATGTGTTTGTATGTTCACTTTTGAATGGGCAGATTCCGTTTTTTTTTCTTTTCATTCAGGGAATTCATTCGATTCGTGATACAAAATTAAACATTCCATTCAAACAATTTGAAACAAACAATGGTGGTTAGATCTAATTTGGTAACGCATACCCAGTTGAATAATTTATTTTTTTTCAATGGACTCTGGTTTTTGGTCGTGAATTTATTTTTTGCTCGAAACTTCGTCGATATTTTATTCTTGGATGTCATTTTGAGTCGTAAATTCAATAAATTTGATCATTTCTTATGTATTTTCTTTCATTCCTAGACAAAGTTTTCGTCAAATTGAATAGAATTTAATTATGTGCTGTGTTCTCGGTTTGCGTTGGATGCCACTTTGTCATCATCATCAAAAACATAATTTCAGATGACACTCTCCTAGCCATTGTTCATGAACTTGTTGAAAGCGCATTGCATTAGCAACCCCATCAGCAGAAATAGTAATGTGAGTCGCACACGGTACCGCTGAATAGTCAGTATTCGTTATCATGCTGTGATCACGCTGATAAGTGATTATGTCTATTACGACGAAAGCCAACAACCACGAAATATAATCGGCTTATTAGAATGTGTATAGCATAGCACAAATGGAAGACATGTCTCCTGACTTCAATGGAATCGTATCAACTTACGGTTCGTATTTGGACAATTCAGTTGGAATAATACATATATACATATGTGATAAAAGACTTATTATTTAAGCACAACACACAATATACAACAAATGTATCTCTCACCTTCGCACGCAGAATCAAGAAAATGAACAAAACAAAAACTATCTTCATCGTTGAACTAAATCAGATGATTTCGACAGAAAGTGAAAGTTTCAAGCAAAATATGTAAGCAAATCACTAGTGAGAAGCAAATAAATCACTATCAAATTTTGTGTTTAATTGAATGTTTATGCAGTCTTTTAATTGAGCTGACTCCTCTTTAGAAGGTTAATCCATTCTCTGTATCGCACTGATTTTGAATTTGTTCATTTTTTCAACGGTCTGCACAAATCTAGTTTCTTTTATGAATTTTTTTTAGCTTCTTTATGTTCTTTTTAGGTATTTTTCATTAGTTTTTTGGATTTTTTCCAGTTTTTTTATAACTTTTTGTATTTTGAACGATTTTTTCTCGGTTTTTCTTTAAGTTTTTCGAATTTTTTTAAATTCAAAACGGAATTTTCTAGTTCAAAATGATTATTTTTAGTTCAAATCAAGATTGAAACAGTTTTGAATTAAATTCCAAAAGAAAACTGTTGAAATTGATTTAAATTGCACTTTATTTGAAGAAAATTATGAGCTATTCACTGTATCACAATCCATGGAATTGAAGATAAAAAAGAATTCAAACTGATAAAAATGTTATTTGTTGAACTGAAAATCACGCTGCCAAACACCCACTTCGGACAATTGGGAGTACCCGAAACAAAAAGTCAGTTATTCAAGTCTGAACAACATCGTCGAATGACGGCGAACCAAACGAAATCAAGTCTATTTATACGACGACGGGATGTATCAGCATTTTCCTCGCTCTCACTCTCAACTCGATTCTTACATCCACACACTATACTTACGGAGTGCCACTTGACGTTATATATATATATATCGTTTAAGCACACGCATGTACAGACTCCACCAACACAGTGAGGTTCATGTTCGTTGCTTGGTACTTTTGCCACTGTCGCACATTCGTTTATGCAGGCTTACCATTTATTGTTCGCAATATTCATTTCATGCTCCTGAGGATTGGCAATGTGGTGCAAAAGCAAACATAATAATTAACTGCGTTATTATTGGGTCCCCCCGCCCCCCCCCCGAAAAAAAAAACAACAACACACAATGCCACGAAAAATGGTACATATGGCATCTAATGTGATGGCGATAAGCGAAACAAAAACGATAGAATCAGCCGCGTACGATGCATTTACATACACACATTTCTTGGAATAGCAACAATTGTGTACGGCAAATGGAGCTCACGAATTTTGGAATGCGAACGTAATAACAGCTCGAAATTACCAAGCAATTACTGTGTTATTGCTTCTTTTGCATCATAATCTACTTATAGTATATAGCGCGTTTAACACAATTTCTGTGTTTTTATTGACAAATCATAAGAAGTTGCACGTCAATCCACCACGACAATTTAACGTTATCAACTTTGGCACTTAGTCATCATTTCTTTAAACTGTTTTTGCAAAACTCCCACATTCCAATGGCCTTTTTATAATTGTGTCTATTTGCGTTTCAAATATTGTACTTTTCGGTACTAATTTATCATCTGAATGGAATGCATTTAATCATCCATCGACAGCTATGAGTCAATAGGTTACTTCGCAAAATCAAATGGATGATGAACATCATTTTTATAGATATAATATAGATGATTTGGTACATGGCAATATTGCAATTGCTATTTATATTCAAGTTGTACCAGATGATATTGATTCCCATGTGGGTTTTTTTTCTCATAAGGAAATCGCTTTGTGAGGAAATAATTGCTCTTCTTCCGGGAAAGACAGTTTTAAAAAATAGAAAGGCAATTTGCATCGGTTGCCTTTGGGTTTTATTCACGTGAGGTGCTTACAATGGAAATTATTTTTGCTATTTTTATAGTGTACTTGTTGAAAGAAAAGCAAGGAAGAGAAATAAAGAGTTTAACGCGAACTAAACAATGACCAAAAGAATAAAAAATTTGGGAAATAAATCAGATTCACAATCTCTATCCCGAAGTAGAGTCAGAGCTAGGTGTACCCGAACTGCTGGATGAATCACCTTGGCTTCCACTGCCTCCATTTTGACCTGATGGGGATCCTCCTTGACCACCTGGACCTCCTGATCCACCTGGTCCACCACCTGTATGATTCGTAAAATGATTTGATTTAAATTCTGAATTGGAAAATGGCCATGTTGTAGATCTAGAAGTGTTTCATACCTTGATGACCTCCTGGAGGTCCACCTTCACGAGTGGTTCCATGCGACATGGCACTTCCGAATGTCTGAAAAATACGTGAAATTATTGGAACAAAAATTCAGATTAAAAATATCTAATTCTTTCCTTCTTTAAAGGGAAACCAATCGGATTGTGTCCGATTTGGTTCGAATTACGTATGATTTCTATGATGGTGAAACAAAATAAGACTAATCACAGGTCGAGAGTTGTATTCTTACCATCAATTGCACTAAAAGTAGTGCTAATAAAAATGAACTTTTGCTCATCATTTTGGAGTTAATTCAATTCACTGTTTGTATTCGATGAGAAATGCAATCAAACTGATGTGATTTTAACCAGTAGCGGAATTTTTATGCCTTTTATAGCAACTCAATCAATGCACAGTTGCAACAAAGGAATATATTTAACCATTTTTTTTTAAATTTTAAATTAATTTAATCTGATTAAAATTCACAAATTTAGTTTTGTGTGTATTCAACTTTGTGGGCGCTACAATGAGAATCTACACTTGTGCCTCTTATCAAAGCCATTAAAATCTTTTCATTTGCCGGAATGATAATTAAATAACACGAATTCGGTTATTATCTTGTTTACAATCTGTGAATAAAAATATGTGTTAGATAAACAGGAAGTTTGACAATGTTTATTGCAACAAAATGTAACATTCAAATCACTTTTCCCGTGCCTTCCCTTTCAAGATCATATTTAATTATTGAGAATGATAATTATTTGGAGAAATCGAGAATGACAGCTTGATAGACACCAAATTTTATATCAAAATTTGATGCAAAATTTTATCTGAAGAAATGATGTAGCGTAAAATTCATATTGCTACTTGGATCAACTAGTAAGATAATACTTGATATCATGTTAATGAACCATGCATGGTTGAATTGTAGCACGTGTATCATCTCAGATCGACACGAATTCAAAAGAAAGTCATACTCATACATCCAATGTATGTGCTATCTTATGGTGAATTTCCCCACGGAGAAACCTATTGCGTAGTTTTGACGCAAAATTCGTACATTTAGTTCATGGTGCAAAATTCGTACAGTTCGCAAACATCCACCTGACTTTGGTTTTAATCATTTTTGTACAATGAATGCGTTACACGAAAAACGAATGTATACGAAAATAATTCAATATGTGTTTCAGTTATCTAATTCAACATAAGACAGCAAGCATTTTGGAATCTCTGATCTTTTTTTGAATTACATTCAAAAAAAATTTCTCTTTGGGCTCAAAATAGCAATGCTAGCGAGACTGGTTGAAATGTGCTTAGGGTAAGATATATCAATATTTTGTAGCAGTTTGTGATATTAAAAGATCTTGGTTTTATTGAGAGGCTCTCTCCACTCCTTTTCCAAGCGAAAAAATTACCTAAACTGTAATGTATTAGGTAATGTAATTGATTAAACGTTAATAAATCAATAAAAAAATAAATGCATGTTCAATGTTCATTGACCTCGATAGATTGTCAACAAATTGTTTCGTTTTCACACTTCATCAAAATGTCGAATTGGGATTCCCAATACCGCGATGTTCATGTATTGAATGAGTTTTTTTTTCATCAACAAAGCTGCTCATCAGCAAATTCATTCATCAGTTGTTGTTAAACTCTCCATTTAGATGTAGCTTACTGTCAAGTGAAAATAATGGTTATACGATTTTTAATCTCAACGTAAATCCAGTCAAAAAGAGCTGCAAATTAAAGAAAGACATTGGATTTTCCATTTGGAATGAGAATTCCACATTCAAATATGGAAATATTGATAGAAATATTCAAACATCATTGAGAAAAATTGAATTATTTTGTATTGATGTAGGGAAAAAAACCATCTGTATTACAATCAATAGCAGATCTAAAGGCAAAAAAGACAGCATTTCTAGATCAATTTTGACTCTTAAATTACAGAAAAATTCCCGAATTCCTACCAAATAAATAAATGCCTTTAAATAATTTTATTATTCAAATTAAATAACACTTTCCATACATTTAAACAAAACAATTTGGATGAAATGCAATTCAAAGTTCACTTATTGTTCATGCGCGCCATCTTTCCGTGGAAATGTCAAATCGAGTGGATTTTTGGTGGGAATCGATTGGGTCAACTTCACTTCGGTGCTGTCATTGTGTTTGTCTATCGGCAGATTGTTGCATTGAAATAAGTAGAAAAGTCACTTCAACACAACATCATCAATTCAAAAAGGTAAGTGTGCTGCAATTAAATAAACATTTGTGATAATTTCGAAAGAAAAAAATTCCAAATTATTGATCGATTGAATTTTGATTCAACAGAAAACGTGTTCTGAATCGAAAACCCTCGAGAAAAAAAAAGTCGCAAAAAGTATCAGAGTATCAAAGTATAAGAGTATCAAAGTAGCACGGTAGACCAAACAAAAAAGTTGCAAAGTAATCAGAATGAGTGGACATCGTGCAAAACGGCGTCGCTTAAACACAGACGAGGGTGAATCGGTCGAGTCAGACGATTCACACGTTTCCAACGAAAGACTGCATGATTCAGGCGAGGCATCGACATCCAACGAGCCACAAATTATTATCGATCCCGACGAACAAAACCCATCCGATGAACAATGGTCTGGCGAATCGAAAGATGACAGCGACTCAGTCTTAGCAACCTGTCGACTGCGACACGGACTGAATGACGACTGTCTGTGTGAAGTGTTCAAATTTCTCGCCGTGTACGATTTGATTCAACTGTGTGAGCTCGACATTTATTTCCAGAATTTGATAACGAAATGGGTGATTGGTAAGAAATTGATCAATTTCACGAAAATGGATCCATGTTGGACAACAAATAAAATCTTTCAGATTTTTGGTAAATCCATGCGTAAAATCAAGATTGCCGAAGAGAATACGCTAGGTTGCTTCGAAAAGTTCCTGTCTTTTGTGAAACAATACTGTGCCATTGGTGGATTAACCGATGTCGAGCTACGTTTTAGTGAGCCGACCGCTCCACAGGCCATCATTGACCAATCAATGCCACATTTTGCAAATCTCCGCCAATTGGTGCTCAACGACAACTACACACGTGTTTGGTACAAAGAATTTTTAGCCGGCATTGCTGTGACCGCAACAAATTTGACACATCTGACGTTGGAGGGAGTGAATGTGTCGGGTGAATGGCTGACCAATGTTGGGATGCAGAATTTAAAAGAGCTACGGTTGCACGCATCAAAACGTCGTTCGATGAACATTCAAACCAACGAATTGGCCGTGTTCTTGCGGTCGAAACCAAAACTGGAAATTTTCAGCCACATTGGTACCAGTGATATCACAGATGTGATCGATTCATTGACCGAAAGCTGCCCAAAGTTAAAGTCATTTGCCGATTTCCACTTGAACAACCCGCACGACATTCGCACGGTGACCAATATCAACGCACAGATGATGCATCGGTATACATTTGTTCGACAATTCACTGGCGTCACCACACTCGGTCTTACATCGTATACACAATGCGGCAGTGATGTCTACTATCCACTGATCAAATTGGCCGTACAGAATCGGGTGGAAGCATTGAAAATTTACATGGATCGCAACAATACCGTCGTTTTGCCAGAAAATAATCAGATGCGCTACTCACACCGAGATTTTGGCCATTACACTCGTCTTCGGTCAATTGAGCTACAAATTCGATCTGATGCATCCGATCAATGCGAATTGAATGCAGAATTCATTTGCGATTTTGTGTCGAAGCTGGAAAACATCGAGAAATTCACTGTCATGTGCGAACCAGCACTGAAGGATGTCAACAAAATTGTGGACAAAGCACCACATTTGAAGGAATTGGGAATATCACACACAAAGATGAAGTATTTGCCGGTGGAAATGCTGAAAATCGTTCGATCAATTCGGAAGCGTCGCAAGGCCTTGATTGCAGACGGTATCAACGATCCGGAACCATTCCATCTGGTGGTCAACATCAAGCAATTGCGTGAGGTACAGGTGTACGATGATGTCAAGACCATTTTGAAGGCCACTGTCGACAGCAACGATGAAAGCCAAAGCTTCAATTTGATGGGAGTGTGATGGAATCCGTTTTTTACACACCTTTTTTTTGGAAACAAACAAATGGATATTCACATTCAATTGTTCACGTAGACATTAGACATTAGCCATTTCATCTTACATTCATTTTTTTTCATCCGATTAACTAATATAACCTATTTAAACTATTGCATAAGATTGAAATATAAGCTATCAGTTGATTTATGAATGAAAAGCGACGAAATTATGGCTGTCAATAGATAACAATGAATTTTATCTATAAAATATAATAATAATATAAAAACCTTTTTTTCTGAAAGAAACTCTATTGTTTTTCTGAAATAGAAACCATAAATTGGACATTCATTTAAAATTGTATTAAACATGAAAAAAAGAAATTGAGAAAAAAAAGTTTAAAACGATTTTGTTCTTATCAAAATAATAAAGAGAAAATTATATTTTTTTGCCCAGAAATGGTCTTTTTTTAACTCTTGAACAACAATTGAAGAAAACAAAACATGTTTGAGGTTGACTTAGTTCAGAAACTAAATCCAGAAAAATATTTTTGGTCCAAATTCAGAAACATGATTTTCGGTGGCGAACAGAGGATGCAACGGGAACCCATCCCACAGCCCACAAAATGTCACTGGCGACTGATAGTCGAATGTCGATCTACCACTGATGAGAAAAAGGTAAGAAAATCCATGGTACCAAAGGTAAAACATCTCATGACATTTATTCATGAATTAAGCAATTGGATAGTTTTTGAATTTTATTTAAAAAGAGATGAAAAAAATTGGAAAATTCTCTTTTGATTGCCGGAATATCCACGTTTTCCTACAAGTATATGATCGATTGAATAAAAAAAATTCATTTAAACAAAGAATCATTTCCCCGAAAAAATTGTCATTTTTGAACAGGTGTCAACCTGAACATTTTTCATTGAAAAAACAAAATAAATATAAAAAATGAACAAAAAATTAGGTTAAAAGTACAGCTTATTGCACTGTAAGTTATTTACAACTTCCCAAGTCCAGCACCTACGATAGCCTACCTTTGTCCCGATAATTTATTTCAATTTATTTCTGTACAATGAATTGTGAATACTGTACAGATTGACTGTAAATTACAACCTGTAATTATTAAAATCTGCTCCAAAATTAGACAAAAAAAGAAGAAAAAAAAATCTCTTCATTCGATACAATATAATAATATATATTTTCCAATAAATCTAGTGCAAATTAAGTAGAAACTTTTCATTTTTTGTCGTATCTTAAAGCATTTTTATAAAAAAAACACGGTTTCGAATGGTTATTTGTAGTTGTTGCACTCTGCGTTTGTTTTTGTGGACGAAAGGCGTTTTTTTTTTCAAAAAAAGTTCATAAATAGTAGATATTTTAAAGCACGTTCACAATATTCTTGCACATTGCATATATTTATTCTTAATAATTAAAAAAAAATCAATATTTATCAAACGAAAAAGTTGGACAACTTGATACGAGGCAGAAAACAGAAGAAAAAGAAAATGTTAGTTTTCAAAAGTGTGTGTGTGTGTATGTGTATGTGTGACAGTCACACTGTGACTCATATCTGTGTGGTTTAAAGTAGGCATATTTTCATGTTTAATTTTCTTCTTCTCTCATATTCATTTTTCTGCGTTTTAACATCAGAGTTTATTTTCTAAGCAAACTATTACCGCCTTGCGAAAAAACCTGACTTAAATTTAAAAAAAAATAAATATAGTCCAGAGATTTCAATAGAACAAAAGAGAAACAATTGAAAACAAATTGTGGTAAAATGAAAAGTTAAACAATTGTAGGAATCGAATGCATTTGTGTTGCCGAGATTTTGTTTTCTGTGAGTAAATACATAAGTTTTTTGTTTGAATTAAAGTCTGCAAAATGTCTTAACAATATGTGTGTGTGTGTGTGTGAAGTTATTAGATAGGTTTGATTGAATTCATAAACAGCATAATTTTTTTTGTGTGGTCCGTTTTGATACCTTCCTTTCGCCGCACCCAACAACATTCCCTCGTGCTATGATGACGATGGTGGTGGTGGTGGTGGTAGTCGTTGCAATAAACAAACACGAACAGGAACAATCTGGCTAAATTACACTTACAATAGGCGATTCGGTGGACCGAATTTGGTATTATTTCTTGAATAGACCAAAGGATGGTAATTTATCGCTTAGTGAAGAGATGAATGTCGACTTTGCTGAAATAATGAACATTTATTCTTGTATAAAATGATGAGGTTTAGCTAAATTCCTAAATACATACCCCATCGGTGCCATCATTTTGTGAGGCTTCACCACTTGTACCCGGACCCGTGTAGCCGGCCATATTGCGGGATCGTCGCTTTTCAGCACTACCCACTCGAGCCTGTTGCACCAATTCAATTGCATCCTTTTTGCTGCGAATTGCACAATCTTCTAGCGTTTCGGCGGCTTCATATTTTCCCTGACGACGATACAGTGCACCGAGGTTTTTTAGCGTTGTGGTTACCGTTGGACTGTCTACCTTGGCCGCTTTATGCCAACCACCATACTCACCATACGGTGCACAATTTGTATTCTTATCCTTATTTTCTTCACGCTCTTCGGCTACCTACGGTTGGGAATACAGACAGAAGAGATTAATCAATGTTGAATAATAGTTGAGGTTGGGTATGTCTGTCTAAATATACTACTACTGCTAACCTATAATTTCATGAGATCAATGCCTGTATTTTGAAAAATTGCTGTTCATACCTGCCAAATGGGTTTGTTATCACCGTCAATTGTACCAAATTCCCGTTCATGAGCCCGTGTCAGCACTTGTTTATAAAGAATTTCCGCCTCTTTATACTTGCCCTGTTTCAAAAAGCAACTGGCTAAATTGTTTTTCGTCTTGGCCACATTCGGATCGTCCGGTCCCAATGTCAATTCATAAATTTCCAATGCACGTTGGTAGTACAGCTCAACTTCATCGTATTTGCCTTGATTCTGACACAATAGCGCCAAATTGTTGAGTTGTTTTGCCACGTCCGGATGATCACGACCCAGTGCCTCTTCACGAATTTCCAAAGCTCGTTTGCACAACGGTTCGGCATCTTTATATTTGCCACGTTTTCCATACAGCACGGCCAAATTGTTGAGTGTCGCCGCAACAGCTGGATGATTTTCGCCCAGGGTTTTTTCACGAATTTCCAGTGCATCGTTCAAGAGATTTGCCGCTTCTTTGTATTTATTCTGATCACGATATACCAAAGCAAGAATGTTCAACATTGTCGCCACATCGGGATGGTCATGTCCGCTGGTTTTTTCTAAATCTTCTAAGGCCTGCTTGCATAATGGAACGGCAACTTCGTATCTGCAGACGAATGAAAGAAAAAAAAATTAGAGTGGAAATTCGATAAAGACCTAGACATTTTCTGAGTTAGACAATTGACTGCATTAATGCAATCGAAAAACATTTTTCTTCAGTCCACCATAAAACTGAGTTATCAGACTAGAAAATCACATTTTATATTTCAATCAGTACTTCACATTTACCTTCCCTGCGACGCATACTGAATAACTAAATTATGCAATGTGCGAAGACGAGCCGGAATTTCATAGCCACCACTAGCTTGATAGGCAATTTGATTTGGTGGCGTGGGCGATAAATGGCTACGGCTTTCCTGTTCTTCTTCGGGGAATAATTCAACGACTGGATCGGTGCGTGATTTTTCGGTGGCTTCTTCTTGTTCTTGATTTTCGTCGTATTTTTTAACCGATGCCATAAATTCCAAATGCTTTTTCTCCTCCTCCAGTTGGGCAACATTTTGTTCCGATGCTTGTAGTTTCTGCTGTGTATTGGCCAATTCATCACGCAGCCAGGCATTCTCTTGACACAAACGGCGCACTTGTGTACGTAATTTTTGTTTTTCCGCTTCGACATTTTGTAAATGCTGTGCCAATGCCATCATCACCTGTGCCTCACCCAAGCCCAGCTCAATGCTTTCGATATTCTTTTGCACAATGTCGGATTTTTCATTTTTCGTCTGTCCCAAACCACTTATCAACGAAACATGCTCCACACGTAATGCCTCGAGGCCTTGTAATACTGTTCTCGTATTGCTAATAATCTCCTCTTGAGTCATTTGCGTCATTTTGCCAATACTTTCGATTTTTCGGCTATAAAAGATTAAAAGAGAAAAAAAATGCTCAAATTAATAAAAAAAAATCAAAGAAAATGAAGAAAAGAAACAGAAAAAATGTTGCAATTTATGAAATATGTAAAAATTTATATGAAAATCATTCGATATGTAAACAATGTTTTTATTAGTATTTTAGCTACTCAAAAATTGCATGAGCATCTTAATAAATCGCTAATTCATTAAAACGCCTAATTTCGTATTCAATCAACGAAATTTTTTAGAAATTCATTTATGGACCTCATTTGTGTGTGTGTGTGTGGCTGTGGATTTTGTGTTAATTTTCAATATAAAACAACGAATAATAAAATCACTGAATTAAGTAGAGTGGAAACGAATGGATCGTATAGCTTTATGTGGTACTAGTGCTGCTGTTGCTTTTGCGTCTGCTGCTGTTATTGTTGTTGTTGTTGTTGTACAAAAGACTGATTTAATGCATACACAAATCGTTCATTCAGAATTTGTATAGCAAGGTATAGGTAGCGGCTGAGCGATATATGCGAACCGAAACCCATGCTCCGTGAATATAATCAAAATATATGCACATTTGGAAAATATAATAATCTATATCGATTTTCCCTTGCCTCCATACACATCGCATACAAATAGCAGTATATATAACTGAAAAGCAACGGCAACGGCAGCCACGGAGACTACGACGATGACGATGACGACGACGGACGTATGGCGCTCTCCGCTTACTACACACTATGTACAAGCTTTTAATGTACTTGATGCAATGGCGATTGAAATACATAATACACAACACGGAAGTACAATGCTCTAATGCATTACAAACCAGATGAGACGAAATTATAAGAGACGAAAAAAAAGAGATTAACCGAGAACAATAGGCGTTAAACTACTTACACTCGATAATCATTAATTGCTTTTGACATTTTTGTATGAGTTGTGTTGTATCTTTGGTTTCAGCAGCGCAAAACAAAACAACGAGTATCTCTTGTAACTAAGAAACTAAAAACCGATCAAAATCGAAGTACAATCATTGAACACATACGAGCAATAGCTTAGCTTATTATTTTATTTGTCTAAATCTTAATTAAAATTATATTCGGCAAGCGTTTCAAAAAAAAAAAATCACAATTCTTAAAACCAAAAAAAATAGTGTTCACGAAAAATGTTCCTTTTGTAAGATATTTTGTGTAAGTCTAGCAAATGGAAATGTCAAAATAGAACGGGGACGTTTTTATCACAGGCACGATTTAGGTTGCACCAAGTAATACGTAATTGTACGGAATTTTTTCAGTTTTTGGTCGCCTCATTTAATTCTTAATCGATTGAAACTTTGAGCTATTCACAAAATGGTCTGGCAGTTTTTTTTGGTTTGTGCACAGTTTTTCTTCGAACAAGAAACCCTCAATGCAATAAGACTACCATTTTTTTTCGCTCTCTTCTAAAGCAGTAGCAACTACACCCAATCAAAGCGACCAATCAACTGAGCTCATGTATACCGTTGCCTGCATACATTGCTATACCGTGTGTTCTGAGTGTGCGAATCCGAGCGGAACGTATTTGGCGCTTTCAACGCGTCGCGACGTTCTCACTACTACTTTTCTACAACGTTTTTTTTTTCTTCTCTCTATTCGACTCCGTTTCAGCGTACATTAACTGAATGAATCGCTCGATGACTTTTCGCATAGATTTTTTTACCCACACACACACACACAACACAGCTAGAACTTATACACATATACATAGAATGAGAATGTCGATGTGTTCGATATTTTTTTTTTCATCGATGCATTTTAATTGTTATTTAGCCGCATTTCGGACGACTTTCTTGGTTGTTTTTCTAGGATTTTATTGCCTTTTGTGAGTTGAAATTTGAAAGGAAGGAAATTTAAAAGGGAACGGAATACATAGGTCAGACATAGAATGAAGACAAGAGATACATTTTTATGAGGTGCAGTTAAAAGACATAAATTTTTAAAGCGCAAACCATCCCTTTGACAGAGACTATGGTAGGAAAAGACCGAAAAAAGACCTAAAGACCGAAAAGATGATCTGAAAAAACCTTTTGCATAGCAATTACTAAAGAGACTTTTGAATGAGGTACAAAACATGACAATCGCTAAATTAAAATGAATAATCACAACATGACTCTTATGTTCAACGATTCCACTCATGACATACAAGTTTCACCGAATAACTTGTTTTATTTCGAATGCCAAAAATATTCACGTCGAACTTGTATGTCATAGTTTTTTTTTTTGGTGTGTGCATGACTCACTTCCACTATTATTGTTGTTTATGTATTTATTCATTCGCCATTCGTGAGTTGATTGATTTTTCTGTATTCCACGATGGAAATATTATTTAATTGGACATATCTTCTGTACATAAAATACATTTTAATGATTGGCGCAGAATTTTGAGTAGAAAGAAGCAACTTGTGACTGTTTTGGCGCAGAATAATTTTGAATGAAATAAAAAAATACTCATTGGCCAAGCATGCAATTTGAGAATGTCTAGGGAATGTATGAAATCATGCAGAATTGAATTTCCGACGTGTTACATTTCGTGCTGCTTCTCTTTCGCTCTTTTTCTCTCCTTTTCTTCCTCTCTCGATCTCTATCGCTATAACCCGCTCTTTCTTTCTCCTTCTAGCTCTTTCTTGCTCTTTTTTTTATCTTCTTTGCTCATTCTCACTCTTTTCCACTCTCTTCCTCTCTCACTTACTCTACAGAGAAAGGTTCTCTATCTCCTTCACACACACAGATTCAGATCCATAGTCAAAACAACTCACTTTCATGCACACAAATCGGTGCCTAGTTTGGCCCAATGAACCATTTGTTTTTGTGCAAACAACCGAACCGAGTGAGTTTTGTGTGAATATAATGGTATTTGCACTGGAAAATATTTGAAAGTACTTACGCAATTAGAGGTATAAAAATTGGTTTAAATTGTTGATTCTATTGGCGAAAGACTGCGTTCTAGAATCGTTGGCTAGTATTTTTTTTGTATACTTTCACCAAACACCAATTACACGACGAATACACACGATTGTCTCTGGGTCCGTGTTTCGTTCTTTAATTAATATAATTATTCTCAAGGGGGGAACACAAAATTGTCGTGATTTCCAGTCAATATCGTTGATTCATTAAAAACCTCAATCAAGTTAAATGGATAAAATAAACATAAATCACACAATTTTTATTTCTTTAGCCAAAAATGCAAAGAAAGAATGTTCACGAGATAGTTTCGCATCTGACAGCTCAATTGAAACTTACAAGTGAGCGTAAAAAAACAATGGATGAGCCGCTGGTGTCTATCTCACTCTCTTGTTTTGTTCTGCTTGTAGTTGAAATAAAGGCGTCTTACACAGAGTATACACGCACGCACACAAATGCACGTATATCTTTTTGTCGAAATGTCAAACAGTGAAGAAATGAATGTGAAAACTGCGTTTGTGATTCAAATTGCATGATTATAAAGATGGTTACTGAATTAATAGAGCAAATTGTGTCAAAAAATGAATTTATTTAATAATTTGGTCAAATATTCCACTCAACGCGAGATTTAACTCAGTTTCTTCATCATTTTTATTCTTTTTCGCTGTTTTGGGCTAGTTTCGGGCTTATTGAATTGAATTGAATTGAGCTACCGAATCACATAAAGTGAATGTCTGTGAATCGACTGTGTTGCGTGTGTGCGACTGTATGAGGTGAGTTTTTAATACTAATTCAATGTCAACCGATAATTGTTTTAAGGTTAGAGACATCGACAGAAAAATTGCGATTCAATCACGATTCTCATATGAGTCACGTTTTGCGTTGACATTTCGTGTATACAGTAATGTGATGTCATTTGTACAAGCCCCCGGTGCATAATAGTATCCTTTCGGTTTTTAATCAATTAGTTTTGAATTGTTTGCAGTAGATTGAGAAACTAGTTTCTGTTAGTTTAGTCCGTTTGCCATATATTTAGCTCGAAAATTTCAATAGAATGTCTGATCCACGCATACGACAAATCAAAATTAAAACAGGTGTGGTGAAGCGCTTGACAAAGGAAAAAACCGTTTACGTGAAAGAAATTGACCAGCAAAAGGTACGCATCGAACGGCTACGCGGTGAAGGCAAAGACGAACATGTACTGAGAAAGGAGGAGGAAATTCTACAGGAAGCACAGATGATGGTACCCGATTCGCATAGACGGTAAGTTTTTTTTTTGGAATTTTTCTAATGTTGTTCGGATGATTGAGGGAAGAATAGTTGTTCGGCCAATTCAACTTGGTTCATTGCCGACTTTAAAGTCGATTATAAGAGATTAGTATTTGAGAAAAGAATGTCAGAATTGATTTTTTTTGTAAAAAAACAGTGCTTCTCTCTCCAAAAACAATCCAACTTATCTCAAAAATTCTCAATTTTTACATTTATTTTTTCTTTCAATTTTTCCCGTTTTTTCTAATCTGTTCTAAACTTTCCTCTACTTTTCTACAGCCTAGTCAAAGCATACGAAGAACTCAACGACTACTTGAAGAACGAAGACGAACTCAAGGAGCTGCCTGATTTCGGGGCAGCGTTGGAAGTGCTGAAACAAGCCAAGGAGAAGATTGACATCGATTAAAAATTGAATTCGGCTCCTCCTTTCATCATCACTATCAATAAAACCACAATTAACCTAATTTTAAGCTAGAAAAAAATACAACAAAAAAGTAATGAGCAATTTTCAAGTGTTTATTCCAAATTTTCCACCGCCTCCGCTTCTGCCTCAATTCGCGAATAATTTAAGTAAAACTACTCCAGCCATACCATCTGTTTCATCACATACTAATTCTACTTTGTACAAAGATCGTCTAAACAGTTATTTGGAAGGTCGAAAACATCGTTCAACAGAAAAAAAGTCGACGTTCCAACCACAAAATGCATTAAAATTAAGTGAAGTTTCGCTTGAGATGAGTCAATGTGACCACCTAATTCAAGTACTCAAAGAAAATATCAAAACTCTTTCAAAAGCCGCTCCTGAAATGGACACGGCACAATGGAATGACCACCTCTCCAAATTGAATTCCAAAGTAGGGGACTTATCAGCCATTTGTTTCAGGTACGATGACACCGATGTACGTACACAAGTAAAAATTTTGATCGATAAACGACAAGAGAAACGGAATCGCATACGGAAACGTAAAATGGAAACTAAAGTGTTGAAAAAATACGAGGCCAGCAAAAGGGAGAGAAAACATCAAAAAATCGATGAGTGGGTGGAGAAGAATGCTGCGGAAATATTGAAAAATCGTCAACAAATCGAAACAAAGCAACGTGCCGAACAAATGTTCATCGATGTAAAAAGTCGACAAAATGAAGCCGACAAATATATCCAGCTAATGGAGTCGTTAAAAGAGTTGAATCGCATTCGGAATAGGGATAAGTACATTGGCTCTGGACAAAATAATGCGGAACTGAATCGAGAATTAGATGATATGAAACAAATGTGGCTGGATGTTGCTAAAACGTATGAAGTGGAGGAAAAAAGGCTACGAAAATTCATAAACTACACCGATGACTGGGAGGAATGGCGAAATATTCTATTTGGTGAACCAACAAAAGAAGATCGATTCGTTTCATTGCATAAGAAAAACGATAGCATAAGTCAATTGATTGCGATTCGCAGTCTTTGGGATCAATTTATTGTGTCACCAGACAATCCATTTGGATCAAGTGTACCGCTTTGTTGGGCACTACCAAATGCAAATCCATCCGAAAAATGGAAGGTTTGTTTGGAAAATCCAGACAATTTATAACAGCCATCTCTAATCCAATCCAACAGTCACCTAAATTTATGATATTTTTTGTGCAAAATTTAAAATAATTCAGAAAAACACCAAAACAACTAAAAATTGAGATAATAAAGAAACGAAAATGCCTGAAACATGTTACGATATGAAACTGTTCTATTTTAATTAAAAATTATTAATTACAAAATTCGACTATTTTCTTTTATTCTAATTCATCAATGAGCGGCGTAATAAAATATTCGATATAAATTTGCGAATCACCATCCGACACCACCATAATCTGAAGCCCAAGCAAACCAGTACGATCTGTGCGTAATGCAACTTTGCTAGCAATTGACAATGCTTTGAGAGTCAATCGAATGTGTGTCATTTTGTAGCGTGCTTTTGATTCTTTGCCGCAGTAGTAGCTGATGAACATGTCACTGGATTTGGCAATTTCAACTTTGACCTCATCATGAAGCTGTCCCAGTGATTCAATGGCAAAATACGGTGACTTGGGTGCAATGGTAATTTCCAGCTCTTCAGTTGCTTTGTGAATATCGTTGAAAAGATGTGAAAAATCTGGGCCACGTACAATTAATGAGTTGTAATATTCATCGTCCTCATCGATATTGTAATCCATATGCTCCTCACCATTTTTGGTTTTGATCGACACTTCGGTGATAAGGTCATCACCATCGTGTTGTTCCAGCACTAAAACTAACGGGGCCGATGCACCTTTGTACATAATTTTCATGCTGCAATCTGGATTGGCAAAAATGCTCAGGCAATCGGTGAACACGGACAAATTAATTCGAACCGATAGGTCTTCATCGGCGCGCAGTTGAAAATCCGAAAAACAAGCCCGTGTCACATACATCGATGCTTGTACATACTTTGATTCCTCGACAATTGCCTTAAAACCATCGGACGAAATGATAATGGTAGCATCATCATGGAAATTGATTGCCTTCAGTGCCGTGTAAAATGTCTTAATATTATCTAATTTCGCAAGGAATATGAACTGTGACATGCCAGATTGTGTCAGCATACTTTTCGATCGAATCAAACCCTTTTCGTGTAGTACTTTGGAATGCTGCATCTATTCGTTGGCGGCCGGTTCGAGTGACGTTGCTTGAATCAACTGCAGTGAAAATGTAAACACATCATTGGCTACCGTCTCTGTTTTCACTTTGCCAATGAGACCCGCTATACGAGCGGCTAATACGTGTTTGCACGTGTACTGTTCGTTCGTATGGATGACCTTCTCCTGAAAACCCGTGCACATACAATAGTTGATGTTGGGCAATACTTTGTAAACGGTATTCTGATCCTCGGAGATTTCAAAGTACTCGCGATGACTTTTGGCACTCCGGTAAATCGTAATTTGTTCACGATCAATTATTTCCAGTGCTTCGGTGAGTCGTGTGCCAAAAATGCCTTTCAATTCAAGGAGATCGGTGTCATCAACTGGAAATTTTACATTTTTTTTTTTTAAATATTCATTAAAGCAAATTTTTCATTAGAGTATTGATTGATTGGATATTGTTATATTTACTGTGGGTTAGATGCACTAACGAATATTTCGTGTCCAATTTGTCGAAAATTCGATGAATAATTATTGCCAACGTTGATGGTTTTAATTCCATGAAAAATTCATGCGTTGCCACTGATTTCTCTGCTATTTATCTAATATGATGAAATTGTGTGTGATTCTTTGGTTTTCTAACGACTGTTCATTGCCCAAAACCGTATATAGCATGTATAGAAATTTTTTGTTTTCACCAAATGTCAAAGTGTGTACCATGCCTTCAATGCGAAATAAATACAAACATTGAACGTCATCGGCGCTGTACACAGTAAACGCCCAACAATTTCGGGCTATTCATTTACCCCATTTGACACACAGACGGCATTGCCGTACACTGTTCGTCTGTATTATTGTTGTTGTATTTGTCGGTCGTATATGAGCCCAATAAATGCTAAAGTCAAGTCGCCATATTTCCTCAGTAGACGTCTCGTTCATCTCTCTGAAACTACACACTCATTTTTATCAATTCGTCATTTTCGTACCAACCAAATTTATTTTCGTTTGACAAAAAGAAATTTTGTTTAAATGTCAGAGACACAATCGTCATTGTTGCTGAAAAAACAATTGGCCGGTAAGTGGAATTTGTGGAAAGCAGAAAGAAAAACCAGGCAATCTTTTTGGCAAACGAAGAATTATATCCTTTTTGGTGTGCGGGGTTCCGCACATATTGCTTGTAATTTAGTTGGTTTTGCATGTACGACAAAGAAGTTAGCTTCGAAGTGAAATTCTATTCAAGTCGATGGTCGGGATTTTTTTTTTATGCATATATACACGGTGTATATATACGTATGAATGCCAAAAATGTGATTCAATTTTTTCTTTCGGCGAAGAGTTTCTTTTTCTGTCGGTATCATAAAAAAAAATGCGTTTAGTTGGAGAATTTTTTTTTGCACAAGTGAATTTTGCAGCGATTTAAAGAAAGGGAAATGAATTTTGCTCTGACTAACAAAAACGTGCATGGGCTCCGTCTTTGTTTGCTGTGTGTATTTAAATACATGCAAATGAACGACCACATTGACAGTTGACGGACTGATTCTTTTCGTCGTCGTTTTTTTTCGTTGCTCGGCGTGCATATGCTAAATAATTGAATTTAAACGTTTTTGTCTCGGTTCGTACATCCGATTTTGTCCGCATCGAATAATTTACCGTGGAATTCTTGGGTGATTTTTTTTTTCTTTCGACGTGAACAAAATGGCATCATTAGAGTGAAAATGCAATTAAAAACCATGAATATGCATGCATATTATGCATCTATCGGACGGAAAAATCAATATCAATCAGAAAATGTGTTAACAATCGGAATATTGTCCCTTTTCGGTGATTTTGGCAACGTTTTTTTTTTCATCCGACAAATAGCATCCACATCAATAAAATGGGCTGTGTGTGACAAAGCATAATGCTGTCGATTGTGTGTGACTATTGATATACATACATAGACCTTTTTTTGCGCATGAAATTTCCATGAGTCCATTGTTTTAAAATAGAATGAGACATTTTGGGTAGGCTTATTTGATAAAAAAGCGATTATTTATTAGGAGACAACTCGAATCGATGAACAACTCAAGCGATGAAATGATGCAGAAATGATTGCTTCAGCTGTCAACGCCTGACTTATGATTGCAATTTAATTAATGCTTATTTAATTTGTTCTCTTTTTTTCTGTTACAGAGCTGAACAAAAATCCGGTCGAAGGATTTTCAGCTGGTCTGGTTGATGAAAATGATATTCACAAATGGGAAGTCCTAATCATCGGTCCACCAGATACGCTCTAGTAAGTAGAATTAATCCGATTTTTGTTCGCATGATATACGAATGTGATCTAACCTCACATTTTGTTGTGTATGCGTATTTTCATGTAATGTATTCAATCCGTATGTCAAGCATCGTGTGGACGATTGAATATTTATTGCATTTTTTTGCCTTTTTTTCTTCACGCATTTCTCTAACGCTTTTCTGTGCATTATACTTTTTGTCTCTCCCATGCAGTGAGGGTGGATTCTTCAAAGCTCATTTGCATTTCCCAAAAGAATACCCATTGCGGCCTCCGCGCATGAAGTTCGTTACCGAAATTTGGCACCCAAATATAGAAAAGAATGGTGATGTATGCATTAGTATTTTACATGAGCCAGGCGATGATAAATGGGGCTATGAAAAGGCATCGGAACGCTGGTTACCCGTTCACACAGTGGAAACAATTTTAATATCCGTAATATCGATGCTAGCTGATCCAAATGACGAATCACCGGCCAACGTTGATGCGGCCAAAGAATGGCGAGAATCGTATCCAGATTTCAAGCGAAAGGTTGCACGTTGTGTTCGAAAGAGTCAAGAGGACTGCTCATAGAGAATTAAAAAAAACACAATACCAATACAACATCATCAAACAAAACAACAAAAGGCTGGCGCGAGAAAACTGAGACATACACACACACGCGAAAATCCAACAGAAAAATTTAAAATGATGAAGAAAGAATGAAACAACCAACAAATACATAATAATCATTATAAATTACAACGCAAACACAGAAAAAACAAAAACACATTCAAAAGTGAAATGAGCTCCGTCTCCGATTCAATATAAAATTTCTCTTGATTTTTCTTTCTCCAGTTTCTTTTTTTTTCTTGTTTTTTGATTATTATATTCGGCTTCCTCATTTTTGCCCTTATGATAACCCAGTGAAAGAAAACAAGAGAAGATGAAGAAGAATAAAAAAAAAGAATTAAACAACACAACAATGAAAAAAAAAACGATTTCAACAAATTTTTTTTAACATTTAAAATACTATTATGTAATTCTTTTCTTTTTAAGCATCAATTAATTTAAAAAGTGAATAAATAAAAACATACAAAATGTAAAACGAACGACATCGACCTTTTTTGCATTTGTTTTGGATGGAAATTTGATCTTTTCTTTTGGGAAAAATTTCTTTCTTTCCAGCAGTCTCAAAGAATTGGAACAATTCAACATTTAAAATGTCACATTTTTCAGGAGAATTTTATTCTTTTCAGGTGAAATTTGATCTTTTTCTAGGACCTTTTGATCTTTCTTTGGAACATTTGATCTTTTTTTTACTGAAGAAACTTTTTGGGAAACTCAAAAAAAAACTCTTTAGGACCATCTGATCTTTTTTCAGGTGAATTTTGCAACTTTTTCCTCATTTTTTGCTCAAAAATCCAGAAGAATGATAACTTTTCTCGAAAATCCTCTGGGATTAACTCAAATCTTCAGATTTTCTCTCGCTGAAATAGTTTCGTTCAGTGGCAAAAATCGAACCAGATTAATTATCTGCACTGAATGGAATCAAAAAAGGTAAGACCATTTGAATTCTCAGCACAAGTAAGTACCAGGTAAGTCACTTGGTAAATAGCACCAACTAAGTCAATGACTTTTTCGCTGGAAATATTTTTGTTAGAGATTTTTCTCGATTCAAATACAAAAAATTCGAAGTGATTTATGCATCGCGTAAAAAATAAGACCAAACCTTACCATGTCCAGAATGAAACATCTTTCGCCAATCAATCGGAAAAGTGAAAAAATGTACAATTAATAATGTCCAAATGGGTGAATTGATAGGAAATGTTGGGAATTCCGGAAAATTGTGGCAAATTTTAGAATATTTTGGAAAATCTTCGTAATCTTGTTAGAAAAAATTCATCAGAAAAGGAAACGCAATTTTTTTACGAATTTAAACAAATTCATTTTCGATTTATTGATTTGGTTTGTTGTTGTCAACATTACAATTTACTGAAAAAAGAAATGAAATAGGATTTTTCTCTCTGAATCAAAAAAAAAAGTTTAATCAGCATTAGCAATAGTAACTAAATTTCTCTAAATGTCTGTAACATATTTTTTTAAGAAAATAATTAAAAATTCAACTGTTTTTTTCTCTTTCATCATAATTTAAGCATAACAAACTTGGTAAATTGGAAAAAAAAAATTAATTTAAAAAAACTGCAATGAACCGAAGCTTAAAAAGGTTTTTTTTTTGGTGAGGGTAAGAAAATGATTAATTTCCATATTATATTTTAAAATGTTGGTAAATATGGAAAATATTATAGCACATTATTTAAACATACATGTTGGTTTTGAAATAGAGCGAAAGTACGCATCATGTTTTGGATGAAAATTGATCGAAAAGAAAAAAGATTTTCTCCCTCTCTCTCTCTCTCTTGTTGATATAGTTTTTGAATCAGTAATTACTAGATCCGTCTGTTGTACTGCATGTTAATGATTATAAGGGAATTCTCGAAAGCGTTGTTTTAAGTATGTTTGACAATTGAATGAGTTTTTGTTTGTTTGTTTGTGAATATAATATAATACCATAGTGTTTGAATAATTAAATAGTTGCAGTGCCTAAAACAAGTTGGACCAAATGGTGCTCGGAATGGACCAGAAGTTGTATAAAATACCTAGCAAGACCATTACACTTGTCAATCGTCAATTTGCGCAATTTTCGTTTTGGCTAAATTAGAAATTTGGTACTTATCTTAGGCAACTGATTTTTTTTTTTTGGGTGATATATACATTATACATGATACAGGTTCTTTTAATTGTGCTCTGTTAGAATCATTATTATTATCATGGATTTGTTTTTTTTTATTACGAATGAGATTGCAGCATGTATGAATAATAATAATAAAAAAAAATTCAAATTTATTAGCCGAAACAAACGTACTCTCTCTCAAACCCATTTATTTCGTTCTCCATTTATTTAAAAAAAACATCTATGCAATCCGTATACTCAAACCGATGGTCGGTCCGTCGTTTTGTTCGTTTGTCTGGAGCTAAATTTGGAGCAAGGGTGTCGCTTGAATTATCTACATGCTTTGGTATGACATAAAATGCAATTTTTTTCTTGCGTATTCTTGGAATGACAATTTCTTTTCTCTCGGACCGAGAGTCTTGGTTGACTCTGGCTTTTTTCTCGGTATAGTGGTCAGAATGAACGAATATATATATGTTTGATAAACAAAAATGCAACACAACTGAAATATATATATATTTTTCATCACTTCTGAGTGACGAAATTGAGATGTGCACGAATTTTCCTTCCTTCTAGCCTCTGCGCACACGTTGTATTGAGGGAAACGTTGTTGTAATTGTTTAGATTAATATATTGTGTGTTATATGAAGATTAAATAAAATGCATATTTAATCAGCGATTTTGTGCCATTCATTCATGCATTTTATGCCATTCGGCAATCTGTCTACGCGGCGAATTGCACACTTCGTTCCAATGATTCTGAGCCGCGCCAGCACATCGTGGTCCGCCCAATTCAAGCCGTCCGATTACCTGGAATTTTACAAAATATGACTTTTTTTAGCGAATTAAGTTCACATTTGATATAGAGCAGAGAATATGACTAAAGCTGTTGATTCTAAACCAACAATGGATTTAAAACTATGGTTTGCAAATCGTTTTCGATTGGATTTTCTTTAATTCCTTGAAAATTGGCTAGAATTTTTGAATAATTTTGCAATAATATTTAAAAAAATTAAAATAAATTAATATCGCCTCCAAAATTTCCCTTTAAAACATCAAAATTTGTTTTTTTTCCTTAGAAAAATCATCGTCCAGAGGTGCTGTTTCCTAGGCGTCCGATTCTGATTGGCAATTTTGTGTTGGAAAAAATCGGTGCCGATTGGAATTGAACATGATCGGCCGCCTGGGAAATAGCACCTTAAAGCAGTCAATGACAGATGGTTGGAGCATATATGCTGAGCACAGAAACTCAGCAAACTGAGATTGGGATGTTTTGATTTTGTGACTTGCTATCCACGAAAATTAATGATAAAAATTTAACCAGGTCGCTTTCTTCGTATACAAATACATGGGAAAGATTTGACGTAAGACGCCAAGACGCCTCTACGCGTGGAATGCTCGAATCTGTCATCGTACACATATTTAACACGAACATTGTCGTTTATACAATCGCACTCACACAAATGAACGCATCGATAGTGCCCGCTCAATATATGTACGATGACTGTTTTGAGTGTCCCTCGCCTAGAGTGCTGCGTGTCGTTTTTCTTCGTTTATTAAGCGATCTTGATTGAACTTTGAGACACATTTATCAATATGTTTCATTACATTTTTCGTCTCGAATGAATTTTTTTAAAAATAAATTTCCATTGATAGCAAGTCGCAAACGTAAAACCTCTCTATCCCAGATTTATGAGTTTCACTTAGAAGATATCCTTAGCTATCCATCTGTCATAGACTGGTCTGACGACGATTTGTTGAAACAACATATTAATCGCAATGATTTGAACATAATTCCCCTTGTAAGAAAAAAAATTCGGCTTGAAAATGATAATAAAAATTGCATTTACCTCATTTTTGGTGACTCGGTCCCAGTCGAGTAGCATCAGTTCCAGTGAGATATTTTCTAAGCTTGATCCAGTGCCCTAAAAACCGCAAATTTATTGTTCATTTAAGCCACTCTAACATCTTAATGCAAATGTGAAACTGTGCTTGCTGTTGCCGGCAGTAAATCAATACTGACCTCATTCGTTGGTATATCAAAAGCAAAACTCTCATTAAAGACCGGGCTGAGTGTACGTTTCTTAACGTGTGTCTTCTTTTTGGCAATTCTTTGTCCGTTGCACAGCAAATAAATTTTCACATATGGATCAGCTAAGCCAGTCACATCCATTCGGGGTAGATTTCGGGCCTTGAGTAAAACGACCGTTAAACGAGCCGCACCTGGTTGCCAGCATAATGATACCAATAGCTCACCACGGCCTTGTGCTCGAATCTGACCATGGAAGAAATAAATTTGCGCAAATGAGATGAAGTATGAAAGTGATTGCAGTTGGGGTTAATGGTTAACCGAGTCACTGCAGACTGCAGCATATAAATTAACAAAACTTCTTCGTAATTTGGTCCCATTACCTTTAAGCTTCTTGGTTGAATTTCCTTGCACATTGCCACTTGCTGTGTTTCAATTTGATTTAAGTCGATCTCGTTCAATGGTAAAATCACTTCGCCAATGACATCGTCACGTGAGTAGCGATCGAAGCTCAACACCACAAAATGTAATGACATCGCACTGATCTCAACCATTGACAGTCCATAGAATGTAAAATCTTCATCGTACACTGGGTTTCGTGTATTGCGAACGACACTGTAAGACGACGAAGAGAGAGAGAGAGAGAGAGAGAGAGAGAGAGAGAGAGAGAAATGAATTAATTCGATCAGTTCAGAGGCTTGAAAAAAGAAGAGAAATGAAGAAGAAAATGAAAATTGCAATTCCAACCAAACAAGCAATTCAATGCTGGCCAAACTAGCATTAATGCATGTTACTCTAATCATATTTCCATACCGTGTCTTCACTTTGTGTTGTTTGTCCGGCAATAGCTGTAGCTTGACGTATGGATCGGTGGCCGTTTGTGTTTTTCCATTGATTCCATTTGGTAGGTCATCGGAGATGTTTTTGTATGGCAATCCACGGCATCGAATCACCGACACCACCAAAGCACTACGATCGGTCAGATATCTCAGTTTAAAGACTAACGAACCCAATTTGCCATATTCTTGTGTGTCATTGCCGTCTGAACCGATTGAACTGGTTGAATTTTCCATTTGGCCAATGATTTTCGTTTGGATTTCACTCTCTTCGGTGTATTTTGGGTGTGCAATAATGGCTTGTGCTTTGAGATTTGACGATGATCCATGGTTGATTTGGCCACCACTGGTTTCAGTTGTTGGCGATAAACTGCCCGGCAATGGTTTATTCACTGATGTTGGTGACGGTGACTTTTTCAAATAGTGTGGCGGACCACCGGGTTGACCGCTTGGTGAACGTACAGCCGTTGTTCGTTTCTTCGGATGATAAATCGCCGGCTCATGACTCTTTTTGTGGCTACGCTGTCTCAAACGACACACATAAAATGCGGTCGCTATGATAAAACCGGCTACAGCAAAACCAAGCACTGCTGGAAGTACTGCAAAGACAAAAATTCATATTCAATTATTGCAAAAATTTAGGTTAGATGCTATCATTTAATGGTACATTGTATCAATATCCATGTTTGACAGTTCGCAAACCGATGGAAATCAAGTGTGAAGTCAGCAATAAATCACGCCGTCGATAGCCCTTTGCTTTCTATATGAAACGTTCTAATCGGGTAAGACAAATGTAACATTGTACACTTTTTTTTTCTCTCGTATCACACGACGCTTCGGTGCGAATGAGATGCTAATAGGGTTATCAGTGGTTCGTTGCTGTAGAGTTCACATCGAATACAAAGTCAAGTGTATGTGTGTTTCAAGCATTGTGCTATTCATTATACGACATAGCGGTCTCACATCTCTCTGTGCATGAACAATTCTTGTGCAAATTTCACATTTTTTAACGAATCAGTTTAGCGTTCAATTAAAATCGCGCAAAATGGTGTTGGTACCAGAAGAAGTAAATATTTTTTTTTTAGCTTTGTTCATTTAAATCGATCGAATTTTTGTTGAAAAAAAAAATGAAAGAAGAAAAAAAAACTCGTCGTAATACAATTTTTTCCGGTTTTTACATAGGTTAGGTGCGCGGTGTGCAAAAGCATATTCTGTTGTTTGGAATGCCGTAATCGACATGAGCTCTCCGCTCACAATCCAAATGATGTATGGGCCGAACGGAATCGGATGCAATGCGGCCTATGCCAAGGTTATCCAACAATGGAATTTCAATGTCGCAATGATTTTGCGCTCATCATGCATTTGTGTCAGGCTCATTTGCCATTGCATTGCAAAAAATGCCGAACGGTAAGTGATGGTGGCTTCTTTGATTTTCTCTTTTCTTTTCTTATTTTTTTTCGTTTTTTCTTTGTTCACTGTGTGTTTTTGCACCGTATGATTCACTCAACATGCACCGCCATTTCATGCTCAATGTGACATTCACGGCAATTTGTTGTTGTTGTTGTTCTTTTTCTCTCCTCTTGCAGCAATTCAATTCAATCAGCGATTTTTCATCGGCCAATAAATGTTCGCACATGAACGATGTATGCAGTTTGCAATCGCCAAAAGACTATAGCACCAATAAAATTGACAATCAATCGGCCTGCACCAAAGATGCATCACATGTTAATTTCGTGACGGCCGTGCAAAAGTCATCGTTTGAAAAGAGTATTTCGGACAGTGTGATTTCGTTGCGCAATTATTCGACCATTCTGCACACATCGAATCATCCATTGTACAAAACACAGAGTCCAGACGCAATGGAAAAGGCTTTGGTACGACAAACGTCAACGCCAATGCATCACAATTTGATGTGTGCTAAATCTCCCGATGACAATGGACAATGTAGTTCGTGCTTGACTTCATCGCTAGGGTATAACAGTAGCAGCGATTCGGATACCAGCACCAATCCAACGAACGATATTAGGTAATTGACAGTTTCTTTGGAAAATTTAATGAAATTTTTCTCTGGAATTGAATGTGAAATTAACCAATCAATCTCATCTAACCTCAAAATAGGCAGAACGTTCAACAGCAAAGTATTATGGTGACACAGAAGAAAACAACAACAATCAAGCGATCCAGACATTCACTTGCCGTGACACCGCTTACACGCCAAGTTATGACAAAAAGTATTCATCGTGCCATTCTTGAATATCAACATTCGCAGCATGGAACGGTGTTGAGCCCAAAATCACCACTCGATTTACGTGTCCGTTCGACCAGTTCGCGGGATACTAGCAAAACCGAACATTTGGCATCAAAATCCATCGAAAAAAGTCGCATTTCAATGTCAGCTGTTCTTAAAACCAATTCAATGGAATCTAGAACCAGCGCCTTGGAAACGGTTTATGAACAAGAAAAAGATGCAAACACTGATGCACCAAATTGTTTTGATCATGAAAATTATGTGGAAATTGTCGAACACACAAACGATAATCACAGCATTGTCAATGAACTAATGACATCAGAACCAATTGGAGAGACACCCGTTTTAGTATCACGAAAATTGTCCAGCGAAAAAATTGGCTCAACCGATGGTGGCGACCATGAAGTTTGGTATACACCTAAGGAATTTGTACAGACCAAAGTCATCGAAAATATTGAAGTAAATTCGAGTTTTTGTTCATTTTTTTTCGTTTTTTTTTTTGAGTCGAAATAATTTTAATAGGAAAATTTAATTTGAAAGCATTCATTCCAATTGGAACTTTCTATTGATAGGAAGTTTTATTTCAATAGAAATCGTTTGATAGCGAATTTTTCATCAACAACATTTGATTAGCAACTTTTTTGTTAGAAAAATTTGACTAGAAATATTTGCATAGACGAATTTTCAATACAAAAATCTCAATAGCTCCTTTTGATGGACAATCATTGAACGAACAGTTTTATACTCATTTTACTATAGTAGAGACAGAAAAAATAAATTGCTATTCATCTAATACAATCCTTTTCTTTCAGATTTACACACCAAAAGTGTCGAAGAAGCGTACCACCGTTCGTCGCTTTGATGATGACGAATACGATACGGAAATTGAAAGCCAAACTCCGATTGAAAGTATCGCTGAATTGGGCCACGACTCCCATTTGTCCAATGTATCGAAAAGTGAACCAAAAAAATCGTCTGGAAGTAAAATCTGGTCATATGTGTCAACATTTCTACGATTTGCATCGTTCACACCTGATTTATCGATGCCGGAGATGAAAGGGGAAGACGTTAAATCTCATGTGATTATCAAGCGGTGTGCATCATTTACAGGTATGGATATTTTTGGGACATTGTATCATTACCATTTAAGATCTAGGCTCATCTTTCTTTCTTTCTTCATGTTCTCTCTCCATTACGATGCTCATAATTTTTCAAATCAAATTTTATAACCTACACAATTATGAACGTATATTTTGAATCAACATTGTTGACAATTCATGCTATGAGCTATATAAGCTCATATAAATTTATGAGCGCTATGAAAATTCACATAAAAAGTAAAAAAATTATCAATCGATCACCCATAACATTTTATTCACTACATGAAACGCAGAGTTATTGACAATAGCCCATTGTTCTCGTGTTGAATTTTCAGTAAAGCAAAATATATATTTTCAACTTTTTTCTTCTTCAAAATTTTCCGCAGGAATATTGCGTGAAAAAAACCCACAAACACCTTCGGATGGAGAAGAAAGTGAGAGTGATTCGTCGCAACCAATCAAACGTCGTCGAGTTACTTCCATAGACACCTTGGACGCATCTTTAGAGCCAGCGAATTATCGAAAGCGGATCATGTGCCGCCCACCCATACGTAGGATGCTGAACAATTAACCATTTTCTTTTCTGTTATGTAAATCATGTGACTTGTAAAAATTGTTATTTATTTATCAAAATATGTCTGAATGAATGCTATGTATAATTCCAGTCAAACGTATGCGAGAAAGAAAAAAAAAAACTGTTCCGTAGCACCTAAGTAATGACTTTGTTTGTATAAAATCAAAGATAATTCCAAATGATTGATTGGCATTTTAGTCAGTCCATTCATCATATAACAATGCATAAAATGCAATCGAAAATGTAGAAAAAAAAGTCCAAAAATGTATCCAATACTTTATAATTGAACCGGAACCCACACATAAACGTCACAATAAAGAACAAAAAAAAGCACGAAGTATCAAATTGAAAAATCGCTACCATCGCTCTTGAATCCGTTTTTATTGATGAGTTGTTAAAACAAATCACGAACATGGAAAATATGCTAGTGCTTATGACGTATGATTCATTGAATCGCGTTCGCAATGGTTTTTATTACGACGCAGCTCAAGAGAAAAAAAACATGCATTTTCGATCTAATTTTAGTGTTGATAATTCGATTGACGTATTTTTGATCATTAAATTTTCAATAAATTTCAAACAAACAAACTTTTTCATCAGAAAAAAATAAAATAAACAACACTGAAAAAATGTGTAAATTTACCAGTTTCAACGGTGGATGCGTCATTTGGGCCATGTTCACCCATCTTGTAAATCCTTCCAGAACTCAAATAGAGTTGATTTACGTGTTTATCCGTACCGAAAAGTTGCCTGTTATCCACTTTTACTTGCAATATTCTATCACTTTGGCCAATAGACAATTCAACAATTACTTTTTCTGTCTCAAAGTAATTTCTTTTGGTTTACACTTGAATTTTTTTTTCTGATATAGAAATTGTTTCTTTTTTCTCTCTCACTGACACGCTTCGGGTTTCACTTGTGCAACATGTTACACTTTTTTTTTTAGTCAATATGCAAAAAATTCTCTTGAAATGAAATAAAAATCAAAATTGTTTACTAATTTTCAAATCAAAAATTTAAAAATATTTGCACAATGTGTTGCATTTACAGTAAATATGGAAAACAATCTGTTTGTTGGAATTGAAAAACGTTTTTTTCTTTGTCTAACTTCCTTACATAAGAAAATTCTGCATACTGATTTGCACAGTAAAATGCTACTGAGACATTGTCGCTCCGTCAAAATTGAAACTGGGAGAAATCGATAGATTCGCGCCGACGCAACACAATGCAATGGAAAAGTAAGCCCGCGCCATACTTCTGTATGTGGGTAGCAGCTTGGTGAAGCTACTGAGAATACTCAGTACAAACAATTGTTTGTCATGTAGGTAATGTGTTGCAGTATGGATGATACCAATGGTAAACGGGAGTACCATTCTTTTTAGAATTTTTTCTACAAAAATTGTTTTAATTTTTTTTCTGCTGTTAACAAGCAAATGTACAAAAATGGTAAAAAAATTTGTCTTGAATGTTGTAAATAATCCTTTTTTGGCGCCGTTTATTTTTCTTTCTATTCAAAAGGCTGTACTTTTCATATTAGTCATGAGAATGTCTCATACACCCATATTTGTCATCAAATACAGAAACAGAATTAGTCACTTTTGTCACGCATGGATACGAACCGTTTCTTTTTGAATATTTGAAATGAAGTAGCAGTAGCTAGCCTAATGACGGTTGACATTTGGGATATGGAGTTTGTTTGATTTCTGAATTCAATATTATTTTATGAATAAAACGAATTACATTTGTGGGGTTTTTTTTGAACAAAAAGAGTGGGAATTTTTAAACACTTTTTTTTTGCGTCAAATAGATAGCCCATGTCGAGCCGCTTCAGGGAGAAGGATAAAATTTCGTTTGTAACCACCATTAAGTTCGTGTATTTGGCTTCGGCAGGTAAAAATGTTATTCTTCACCGTTTTTATGGGGAAATCGGTCGAAAATGGCCATAAATAATAATGGAAAATGAATTTAATTTATTTTTTGAAGAAATATCCTCCTATCACTACTAATTTCAATACTTTCACTTTATTCTCTGCATTCGACTGCTAAGGATGAACCAAGGGGCAATTCACTAAAAAGTTGTATTACTTTTTTCACGTTGTATTACTTCTTCAGCAGCGTTGTATTACTTTTGAGTGATTTATCCTTGGGATGAACTATGAAGCGCAAATAAAGTTCGATGGAAACAGTGGCTGTATTTATACCGTTATTTTGCTGATCGGTTTATGAACACGTACTAAATACTGTTTCATTCGATCCACGCGGATCCATCCAATGTCAGCCGTATGATTGGTCTAAGGTTCGCACACGAAGCCATCCTTCGGTGCGTCTATCAAATATTATATATCATAGTAGCGAAACAGATAGTGAATCAATGCATTTCAAATACGGTATTTTGTTTCGAAAAATAATTTCAGTAAAATATGAGCGCTTTTTGTTCTCTTCATTTGTGCTCACATACTCGAGGATTTTCAAAACTTCAAGTATTCGTTGGCTAAATCATTGCTATTCACTTTGTTTTGTGAATATCGAACCACATGGAAATTGTTTTTTTTTCAATCATCCGTCTGTTCTATTGTCATTATCCACAATGTTTTCTGTTTGACCTTGCAACGATTCTGATCGATATTATTGCACCAATTGCGTTCTCCTAGTGAAATAAGAGGATGAAGTCAGAACTTTCTCAACAGGAAAAGCTTGCCATACAGATCAGATAATGGATCATTGTAATGGCATCAGAAACGAGCTGGAAATAATACTCGTACCTTGTAGAAGATTTGTTATAATAGTGCAAAATATTCTTCTCATCAGGTACATGGCCATAATGTTACAATTTAGCTCGAGTCCAACCATTGATTGCAGTATATTTAGGAGATTTCAGTCCATAACCAACCACATTTGAACATGTATATTCATTCAAATTGCACTTGAAAAATACGAATCTTTCGTTCGACGATCTGAAGGCCGTTTGAATCGCTCGAATGTTTAATGATCCTAGATATTTCCGACAATAATCTTGGAAATGACAATTTTTTAGTATCATCAACGGTTTTCAAAAATTTAAATATCAAAGAATCAAATTGCATGCACCACTTTGGCACAACTCAAGCGCAATTGGCCCTACCTGGAATTTATCAGAAAACTCCTTCGAACCGAAACACGGCGATTGCTCAAGCGCTGTCAGGCTTATAAATAACTTTACCAGTTTCCAAGAGACACTCTTTTTTCGTCCGTTAATTCAGTGCTCCTGCTCATAAAGGCGGCAAAATTAAAAATAATTTGTATTGGATTCTTCTACCTTATGAACAAAATTGTGTTGTTTAGCATCTTTGGTTTCATAATAAAATTTTGATGATTTTTCTTCGACGCAAAATATGTTTTTGTCAATATTTGTCCAAAACAATCTAAATTTGCTCTTGATGTGAGGAATTATAATATGCTTTCGTCACTCGCGGCTGCTGTCGCCGGCTGTGATGGTGTAAACATGAGTTTGGCTGCACAAATAATAAAACATTGAAAAGAAAACGGTCTGTATATCAATAAACATACATTTTATTTATTCATTTTATTTGTTCAAATACACATGTTTTGGTTTTGTTTCACAAAGTATTACAGAAATAGATGTTTGAACATAGATATGATATTTGATGGTAGAATGGTAATATTTCACCGGTTCAGTTTTGAATTTAGTCTATGATACGGTTCCTCAAATACAGTCAGGCATCTACAATCTGCTAAATTGGACTTGAACTTGTTATAAAGAGAAGGCAAACCGATTTTGGCGTTCCCTTGTTCAACTTCTCACTCACTAAAGCTACACAAATAAATTATTTCAAACTTCAGAACTACAATTCAAAATCGGCGTCTGTCTTCTTCTCTTCAGTAGTCGACTTTGTCAGATAAAAGTATTTCAAATCAAGAACATTGATATATCAGTTTTGTTTTCCTTTCAAATAGAAAATGTTACATTTAAATAGTTGTTTCAGTTTGTTGCTGTTGAACACGTACACACTTAAAAATACAATATGTATATAGATTTGTTTTGTTTTTTTTTTCTGTTTTCCAAAGTGATTTTATCACATTCTCCTTAAATAACTAAACAGTTTTACAGTGCCCATTGATGCAGTTGTCATCATTGTCGTCGGTTTGACTGATCAAAAAAATAATACCCTTAATAGAAACCTAATTGAGATTTTTCAAATCCATCATTTGGTTCCAATTTGTACTGTCGATTAGACACAATGAGGTAGATAGAATGTTTAATAAAAAAAAATCTCTTCTTTGTAAATTTGGCACCACAATTAAGTCTTCTTCAAATGCTCTCAAATGAGCTGTAAAATAGAACATTCTGGCTTATCTTAGGACTTTGTCAGCCATGTTAAAAATCTGTGTGCTGTTTCGACATCTCCCACTAAGCTTTTGTGAAAGGAAATGATGTTGACACTTTTCACATTTCTTAAAATTTAAAATGTTACACGGGTACAAAGATGATGGTGATTCATCATTTCACATTTGTAGATGGATCAATGGTTATGGCTGAATGTATGTATGATGAAAGTGAAGATGTGCTAACGCTGAACACAGATGATGCTACTTCCAATCAAATAATTGTTACAAGTATTTAAGTCTTATATATTAAGGAAGGAGATCTTTTTTCTGGTTTCGATGGAATGGTTTTGATCCAAATCGAATTGTTCGTGCTGCCTTAGTTTTTCTTCCTTCACTGTCGTCGAATCAAAACGACGAAATAAACAAACTTGAATCAATTCTCATCAACAAATTTGAACCAAATATTTACCTCAGGGAATGTAGCTGTTGAAAAAAGTTCTCTAAGGGGTGACTCAAGTTAAATCATACATAAATTCATGTTATTCACAAATAAATACGCTATTTTTCGGGACTAACTTTCAATAATAATTGATTACAATCAAAATTGTTCCATTTAGTGTGAATGAACAAATGGGTAAAAGAAACGATGAATAGAGACGAAGCGCTCAAAGTCGCATAAATTGCAAAGGAAGAACACAAATATATTACTCTACACACAATATATTGGGGATTATGTTTAATGCTTTGGGATTTTGCTTGGCAAATCAGCCAGTTTTAGTTTTGTGATGATAAATTTGTTCATTTAGTTTCCAACAAGATGATTTTGTATACTTTGATTTGTGCAGATTTCAAATAGCATTTGGCTATATGTTGAATTTTTGCATTTTGGCACATTGTTTCAATTTAGTCGTCTTTCGATAGTGATGCTAAATCACCTAAAAATCCTTCTGGCGTTAGAATATGCGATGAACCAACAATCACTTCCCAGCCAGCCTTTGCAGCAGTCACTTCATATGCACAACGCATCTCCGAATAGCTGATACCGCCCACGATGAACACGATCAATCGTGGTACGTTTTTTACGGTAGTTTGTGCCTTGTCCTGTTCAAAAGATTCTCATTTAATTATCGGTATAAAATTGAGTATAAAATTGTTTGAGATTGAAATTACCTTGTGCCAGTGACCGTAGCGAGCGCTGTGAAAATGAATTTCAATTAATGTTTTTATCGAAAATGTATGGGTAATGGGTATACTTGATTATATTTGAAAATAAGTTTATCTCACCTGGTTGGTGCATGGTACGTAGCGCTTTGAGCACGTCCAGCTAAAAATGGGAAGTGACGACTATCCAACTTATCATCTATGCAGTCTTCGACGATGTCTTTCATCATCGGTGTCCAACGTGACATCTGGTATGTTTGTTCAGTAACACGATTCTTCCGTGGAATTTGATATGGCTTCTTGCGATTTCCCTAAAAGGTTAAATTCGAAGAGGTTTTTTTAGTTTATGACTCAATAAGAAGGATACTGGACGGTGTCCAGTGTACACATTTTATTTATGGATACGAAACAAAAACCATTCCACATCTTCTTCTTTTCTACGTATTTTTTTTTTATTCATTCGCAAACACTTACATCAGTGACAACGTTTATTCCCAAGTAGCTTAGATTCCGGACCATATCTTGGTCGCGCAAGTTGATTTGTGCATGGGTGAACATTTTGTTGAGATTTTCATCAGAAATTCCATTCTTTGTCATCACGTACAAAGCAATTATACGGATTTTATCATAGCTGGATATGTTCTGTAATAGAAATACAAATGAATATTTTGATATTAGTAACAAATGAAAAAAAAAATCAGTTTTTAATTGTACAAAAAACGTCTCCTAGTAACATGACAGTTATTTTGTCTGAAATACACATGTTTTCATTGCCGCTTTATCAAAATCACGTCGCCCCTCCGAGCGGATGTGAGCCATATTTGAAAACAACCGCTGTTGAGCGGAATTCTTGACTCGTGTGACCTCAAATTGTGATAAATTTGCTACTATTTGGACGAATAGCTTATCGAATTTGTGATTTATTCGCATATATATTGTTCCATAGCTCTGGATTAATCAGTTCGAGAGATGAAGTTGAGCCAATTGTTTTGTATTGAACGGCACAAAAAAAAAAGAGAAACCAAGAGATGAAGTTTTCAATCGCTTTCGTGTTGATTTTCATTGAATTGTGCGATTCAAATGATTTCCAGTGTGTCCATCTCACTGACGGAATGGAATCGGTCGAGTTTTACTGTGAAAATTTCAACGAAACGTTGCCCGTGAATTGTTCAACAACATCTTTATATGTAATCGCCCGTTATGATAAATCAAAAGTGAAACGCCTGAAGATTGGTGGCTGTAACGAGGACAAAGTCGCGCGAATTATCGATGATTTTCCAAATATACGTTCACTGGACATCTATTGTTCCAATCTCCAATCAATGAAACCATTCAATATAATTCTGCAGCATTTGCAAACATGCAACGCCTCGCATAACCAACTCACCGAGTATCCCCGGGAGTTTTGCTCACAAATGCCTCGATTGATGGAATTGGATATATCATACAATAATCTAACGCATGTCTGGTGTATGCCTGTATCATTAAAATGGCTTAGTTTATCGCATAACAAAATACGGTTCATCAGTGCTTACGACCTGACCGATCTTCCGAATTTGGAAATCGTTGATCTGAGTCACAATTTACTTAATTATATTGATCATTACGATGCTTTTGGAAGTTTTAAACATTTGAAGACACTTGGTTTTGAGGGTAACCGATTTAAACTTTTCGATGGACGGATTCTACACTTACTGCAGAGAGGTGTTGCAATTCATTTTTCATGGGAATATCTAACCACTCTCAAAATTCGTGAGAACGATGAAAAACCTATTCGTTTTGTATTAAACAGCACTGTGAATGGAGTTTTTCTATCATCCGATGGATATCGCCGTGAGTTCCACTGTCGTGAAGAAAGCTTCAACAACATACGCGTATTCAAAATCATCGACAATCACATTGAAAACCCAGGCGAAATGTTTCGTTGCTTGACACCATCACTCGAACGAATAATATTAAGCGGTAGCTTCGGCGAAACACTTCATTCAACGTCCTTTGAACCGTTTATCAATTTATGGGAATTGATTATAAATGGCGCTCGGTCAATGGAATTCGATTTAAGCTCCATTAAAAACCCAAAACGTCTCCTCATACTTGATATTTCAGGTAATAACTTGGAGGAAATCAGGAACGTGTCCCTACTGGAGAATATTCCGTTTTCTGACAATATTATAGCGACTAAAAATGAACTGAAAAATTACTATGTCGGACGACAGGAATTTTTTGATGCGGAAAAGATCATGTTAAAAAACATTGGGCTTTTTCCAGCTTGGATGGAAATGCCGCCGGATATCTGCTATTTAAATGTGGCAAACAATCAATTGAAAAATGCTCCCGAACTCATCCATCACTTCCGACCAGAAGTGTCTATATTATACTTGAGTGGAAATTACGTGGGGAAATTGAATGTAACCACATTTGAACGTGTGGATTTATTCGAATTGCATTTGAGAAATACGAATCTTTTGTTCAACGATCTAAGGCCATTTGAACCGTTCAAAAGTTTAAGAAAATTGGATATTTCCGACAATAATCTTGGAAATGCTAATTTCACAGTGCCATCAATGGTTTTTAAGAATTTAACCCATTTTTCTGCTTCTCATTGTAACATTACGAACGTCATGGATTTGATGAACCAGTTTGGACCAAATATTGAACGACTGGATTTATCGGGAAACTATTTAAATTTACTTCCCGATGAAGCATTTGAAAATTACACCGAACTACGATATCTTAATTTGAGCCATGCAAACTTATCGACAATGGAGTTCTCATTCGACAAGCAGCTAGAATTGATGACACTCGATTTGTCTTACAACAACTTAAAGAACGTGGACTTATTCACAGTTCCAAGAAAGATTGAAGCGCTCTATTTGGCTGAAAACGAATTAACACAGATACAACACCTTTCCACCTTCGAATTTCTGTGGAAATTATCAATTTCAATTTCAAAGAAGCAAATTCCATGCACCACTTTGGCACAACTCGAGCACAATAGGCCTGAAAATCTGAAATTTTTGGATAATCCCTTCGAACAGAAACACGGTGATTGCTCAAGCGCTGTTAGACTTATAAATAACTTGGGTTTTATTGGAACTCTTATCTCGAAATGGTTTTAAAACAAATTTTCTTTAGAAAATAAACATAACCTGTATTGGATTCTTCTTCCTTTTCGAAAATGTGTCGTTATATCCATTCATTATAAAATCTTTATCTGAAATCATTTTGTTGCTAAATGTAAGTGGCTAATATTTTGTCATAAGGCTGAAACTTTGTACAATGCATCAAATTGCTACATCAATCTGAAGATGTTGCTTTTTTCTGAGTAAGGGCAAATTTTGACCTCAAGATGGAAATACTCATATTTTGATTAAAACAATGGAGTTTTCCTTATTCCGAATTCATTCAAAGCATCCTATGATGACTTATCCCAGTAACATGTACGGTTATTATTCGCTTGTATTTGAATTGAATAAGTTTTTTTTGTCGCTTTATTAAAATCTTGCTAAATCTCTGAGCGGATGTGGGCCAAAAAAGATTTGAAAACTGCCGCTGTTGAGTCGCATTTGCGACACGTGTGACCTCATATTTATCAAAAAGCTTATCGAATTTGTAATTTGTTCGCCTATACATAATGTTCCATAGCTCTGAAATAATCAGTTCGAAAGATGAAGTCAAGTCAGACGTTTTGTATTTTCTAAAAATTTTGAACGGCACAAAAGGAATAGAGAAACCAAGAGATGAAGTTTTCGATCGCTTTCGTGTTGATTTTCATTAAATTGTGCGATTCAAATGATTTCCAGTGTGCTCATCTCACTGACGCAATGAAATCAGTCGAGTTTTACTGTGAAAATTTCAACGAAACGTTGCCCGTGAATTGTTCAACAACATCTTTATATGTAATCGCCCGTTATGATAAATCAAAAGTGAAACGCCTGAAGATTGGTGGCTGTAACGAGGACAAAGTCGCGCGAATTATCGATGATTTTCCAAATATACGTTCACTGGACATCTCTTGTTCCAATCTCCAATCAACTAAACCATTCAATATAATTCTGCAGCATTTGCGAGCATTCAACGCATCTCATAGTCAATTATCCGAAAACCCAAACGAGTTTTGCTCACAAATGCCTCGATTGATGGAATTGGATCTTTCGTACAATAATCAAAGTCGTATCGTATGGGATTTGCCTCAATCTTTAACGATGCTCAATTTATCGCATAACAAAATATCGTTCATCACTGCTTATGATCTGACCGATCTTCCGAATTTGGAAATTATTGATTTGAGTTATAATTTAATTGAAGATATTTATTATTACGGTGCATTTGAAATGGCTAAATATTTGAAGACACTTTGTTTGGAGGGTAACCGATTTATTTTTTTCGATGGGCGGATTTTACAGTTGCTGAAGAGCAATGTTGCAATAATTTTTTCATGGGAATATCTAACTGATTTAAAAATCGAGGAAAGCATTAAAAAACCTATTCGTTTTGTATTAAACAGCACTGTGAATGGAGTTTTTCTATCATCCGATGGATATCGCCGTGAGTTCCACTGTCGTGAAGAAAGCTTCAACAACATACGCGTATTTAAAATTATCGACAACCACATTGAAAACCCAGGCGAAATGTTTCGTTGCTTGACACCGTCACTCGAACGATTAATATTAAGCGGTAGCTTCGGCGAAACACTTCATTCAACGTCACTTGAACCATTTACCAACTTAAAGAAATTGGTTATAAATGGCGCTCGGTCAATGGAATTCGATTTAAGCTCTATTAAAAACCCAAAAAGTCTCGTCATACTCGATATTTCGAATAATAGTTTGGAAGAAATCGGGAATGTGTCACTGCTGGAGACATTTTCATCATCATTGTTTATTAAAGGACATGAAAATGAACGGAGAAAATCCTATATTAGAAACCAAACACTTCTTGATATGAATAAGAACAAGGTAGATGAAGTTGGCTATTTTTCGCGTTATTTAGAAATGCCAGATTTCTTCTATTTAGACGTAGCAAACAATCGATTGAAAAATGTTGCCGATTTAATCCATTCCTTTCGACCAGAAGTGTCCACATTATTCTTGAGTGGAAATTACGTGGGGAAATTGAATGCAACCACATTTGAACGTGTGGATTTATTCGAATTGCATTTGAGAAATACGAATCTTTTGTTCAACGATCTAAGGCCATTTGAACCGTTCAAAAGTTTAAGAAAATTGGATATTTCCGACAATAATCTTGGAAATGCTAATTTCACAGTGCCATCAATGGTTTTTAAGAATTTAACCCATTTTTCTGCTTCTCATTGTAACATTACGAACGTCATGGATTTGATGAACCAGTTTGGACCAAATATTGAACGACTGGATTTATCGGGAAACTATTTAAATTTACTTCCTGATGAAGCATTTGAAAATTACACCGAACTACGATATCTTAATTTGAGCCATGCAAACTTATCGACAATGGAGTTCTCATTCGATAAGCAGCTAGAATTGATGACACTCGATTTGTCTTACAACAACTTAAAGAACGTGGACTTATACATCATGCCAAGGAAGACTAGAACTCTTTATTTGGATGGAAACGAATTAACGGAAATACAAAACCTTTTGGCCTTTCCACATCTGAGAGAATTGTCAATATCAAAGAATAAAATTGCATGCACCACTTTGGCAATTGAATGCACCGCTATGGCTCAATCCAGACGCAATTGGTATAATATGAAATTTATCAACAATCCCTTCGAACAGAAACACGGTGATTGTTCAAGCGCTGTTAGGCTTATAAATAACCTTGGTTTTGTCGGAACTCTTATTGCGGAATGGTTTTAAAGCCAAAAATGAAAATAATTTTTATTTCTTTCTCTTTAAATTGTGTTGTTAGCATATTCTGGTTTAGTAATAAATCTTTCGTGTCTTTTTGGACACAGAATATTCTTTATCATTGCTGTACAGAATTATAGAACGATCAACAACAAGTTAATAACATTATCTGAAACTCTTTTTGTTGATAAATAAAAGTTGATATCCGTTTTCAAGCAGAAGTCAGCTAGAAATGCCACAGTCGTATACTAACGCATTTGTTTCATATCGGCAAATTCAAGTTTGTCTTTTATAAAATAAAGTCACTCGATTCGTTTTACTATTGTACATGCATAGTATGGATTGAATGCCTAGAATGCATACAAGACTGGTGCGAAATACTTCATGAAATGTTGAGTGTTAAGAAAAGGAAGCCAACTCACGCTGTCTAGTATGATTGGTAGAATATTTCGCATGTGGTCTTTGACTTTTTCCCCTTCAGCGTCTGTACCCATGGCCAAGTCCTGTTCAATAGAAAATATAGTTTTACATTAAAAATAAATGAACGACCTACTGGAATAGGAAAATGCAATGGATGAACGAAATCATAACACAATGAACAAGAAAAAATTCAACAAGTTTTTTTTTTTGGTCAAGTATGATGAAATTTAATCATGCCTCTTACCTGTTCAACACGACATAAATTGTCCACATAACCCTGATAAACTTTCATACAGTCTTCGGCTAAATGCAAATGTGTCGAATATTTGGACAATTCCTTTTGATATTGTGGCATCTTTTTAATCATGAGCGACAAGTCTCGCATGGATTGCTTGTCACTTTGACTCATACGCTTCGATTCGGTGAATCTCTTCAAATTCTGTGTGACAAGTGTTGATACAACGGCAATGTGTTGATGACGTAACTCAACCCACAATTCGTCATTTTCATCGAGCAATACTTCTTTTTCATTGGCATTTGGAGTCGGAATGTACCTGGAATTTATGAATTTTTTTTTTGATCTTTCAATAAGAAAAAGAAAATAAAAATCCAAAAAGAAGACAAGAAACAATATTTGTTCGAAAACCGTCTTCAAAGGTTGAAAAGAACGGAACAGGAAAAAAACTGAAAAAACCAATCAATCCGGTTTTGAATGACTCGAAAACGATTGAAACGGTAAAACTGAAACGAAATTGTAGAACATACTTGTAAACATCATTTGTGATAGGAAGTAAGTCATATGCCATCGCTTGCAAGGTAAGCTCATGTAAAATTGGCGTAACACAATCGAATCCACGGTCGAGAATCAATAATTGTGATCTGGCTTTTTCAACTCCTTCGCCAATTGTCGGTTCATCTAAGATGTTATACCAAAAATATCGTTATTTTTCAACAATTTCGAATCAAAACTCCAGTCGTTCGAATGAAATCAATCGCAAAATGAACAGATCAAATCACATGTGTCCAACTGTCTTCAAACGACTATATCTACTGATGAAGTTTACTTTGAGAAAGGAGAGAAGGAATATTTACCAGCTTTATAAGCATCTAATTTTTGTTGAATCAACTGAGCCAATTCAACGTTACGATCGCAAGCACTGTAAAGACAAATATTATCTTGTTATTGAAATATTCAAATACCAAATTCTGAAAAGTTTAATTTTTTTAACCAACTTCAAACCCACATTAAGTAAAACAATATTGTTTATTTAATAGTGAGCTCTAAATTCCATGCAGTGCTAAAAACGTGTTTTGGTATCAAAATGACGACTTGACATGTTAAAATAAATGTACCTTCTATAGCGCACTGACGGGTATTCACCCAAAGTGGCACATAGTGTGGCAACTTGTTCAGCGATGCGTTCCATATGTGCGATTCGAGCCAATGCCAAGCTTGGCGAGTACAAAATTTGGAATGTATCAGGAGAGTCCAGTGAGAATACCTATATGAAATCAAAAATTGAGCATTATTTCACGAACATTTCACATTATCAAAAAAGGACTTTCATTACCAAATTTTAGAATAATAAGAAGAAATTTCGAAAATCTACTGACTTCAATAAGATTTTTTTTTTTTAGAAAGTTTCAACAGAGAAAGAGGCTAAGTTAGCAAAGAATGCGTATGGTTTAATTGATGAACATGATTAGAAATGAGTACAAACCTGGCTTTCGTATGGTAAAAATGCGACGTTGATTTCCTTGAGAGTCTTAATCTTTTTAGCGGCAGTCGATTTACACAAATCATTAAACAATTCCTCGGGACAAACTAGTGATATATTTTTGTATAATCAGGCATTCAATGGAACCGGAATCGAATGAAAAGTCAAATGAAAAATAAACAAAAATGAATAAAATGTTTGAAACGTGCATGTTGGATGTAAGTAGAAGCAATAAAACATTCGGTTTGTATTGAATTGAAATCTAAAAATGTTTCGGCCAATGAATAACTTGATGCAAAGCATATAATGCCTAATACGGTTAATAAGTGTTAGCGAAGTTTTCGTTACAGTGTAGATACTATTCCAAAATATCCGGTAGGAAAAATCAGGAATGCAATGAAATATGATAAAAAAAAATACCTTCAGAGAAGTAGACATGAGCGGCTTTATACATCGGATGATTTGACTGCTCGAAATCATGGATTAATATTCGAATCGACTCTTCGGTCGGTGTCATCAAGTATATTGCTTCCATGGCTGCCAATGGCTCACGACGCTTTTGCAAATCTTCAACCACTGAACACGAGGGGGGAAAAAAGAGGAAGAAAAACCAAGAAATTCTTTGTTTAGAAGCTCTTCAGTCGAAAAACAGATTTTGTTGTATGAAAAATTCGACAAAACTCGTCTTTTTGTCAAATTTTGCATTCAAACAAGACCACCATATATTCCAGTGGTCCACCAGATGGTCAATCAATTCTCAAAATGCTCATCAAATTTCAATAAACCGTAACTTTGCGATTGAATCAATGTGCGATTTATACGTACATGGTATTCCCTCTGCAGTAATGTCGTGCATTTTACAGCAAGCTGATATCATTCGCATTGCCAGTTTGTCGACAATCAAAATGCGCCATTCTTTCGGGCCAGGTTTCATTGCGGGTGATTTCCCCTTGAAATGAATCACCTCGTTCATTATTTCTGAAATGTGAATAATAAAAATGCGTATTAAATGTCAAAATAAACCATAAAACTTGACCTAGGTATCAAATATCATTCATCTATATGGTGCACTATATGGTGATGTGTCACTGAATGTACATGATTCTTGCGCAGTCTCATTTACTTGGAAAATCAATACTACGTCATACAATTACTTCAATTTATAAACAAATATTTTGATTTTTTTTTCACCCAAATTCTTTGAAAAATATTGAAATTTTGAGTACTTTTCAACATTTTCTTGGAATATTTGTTGAAAAAAATAATCATTTTTGATATGGAATTTGGTATTTTGATGAGAAAGCAAAACCTATAAACATCGTCACAATGCAACATCACATAAAATCCATGTTTAAGACGAAAAAAAAGCTTATGGAATTTATTAAATTCTACAAAACCGATTATATTTTGGCAAATTATCCATTTTTATTTTTGAAAAAAAAAAATGAACTCACTTTGTCCAACTTGAACTTTTAACGCCATCGCTAACAGGTTTGAGTAGAATGTGTTCGAATGTTGTCGTTCGTGCAACGTTAAAAATTGCGACTGAAGTTTACTCACAAATTTTTCCGAGCCTTCGCGCTATTATTCACGCACGTGCAATGGGTAACTGTCATGTCAAACTTGGCCGAACAGTCAAACGATGAAACAGTGAAATTTTGAATCGTAGCTCGAAAACCAGTAACTTTTTTTTCGCGATGGATTCCGAAGAGAGGAGGAAATATCAAAAATTTTTGGTTTTTTCAATGGTCATTTTGATTATAAAATTATTTATTATAACATATTGGATATATCGAACATTTAAATGCATTTTTTATTAATTTTTCATAGGGATTTAGATTTTTCGCCAATTTGTCCAAGGGTTTTCACATTTTTGTCAATTTTCTTCTAAATATTGGATCAAGAATCCATATTTTTCTGATTGATTATACTGTACTCTCATATTCTGATGATTTTTTGCAAATTTTGAATGAAAATGTTCAACATTTGAGTCACGAGAAGCTTAGGAATGACAGACCGATTCGAACTATATAAGCAAAATGTTAAACGAAAAATACAACCAGAATGTGGTTGTAGAAGAAACGAATGGTGTTAAAAAAAATTATCTATTTCTATCGTAGATTGAATATTCTAGGTCTGAGATGTTCTTTTTATTTCAACGCGTTAATGGTGCAAAATTTTGATTGTTAGCATAGATCCATGTTGTTTATCAACTATACTAAGGTTGATACCTGCTAGCAATGAAAATCTTGCACCACAAACGCGTTAAAATAATACTTCAGGCGCCTAAATCACTGAGTCAGTAAATTCGGCTCAGTTCAGGCCTGCTTATCAGCAAAAATACACTCTCTGGTTTCTACGAAACAATTCAAAAGTGTAAATTCGAAAATCAAGGCTGTAATAAGATTTTTATTTTTTCACAGTCAAAAATGTAAGGTAAAACCGAAGAATTTTTCTTTAAAAAATTAATTTTATTTTAGGTGAACATTGTCGAAACTTTACACAGCTTATTTAAATGAAAAAGAAAATAAATCAAATACATTGTTATTGTTCAATTGATAATGAAAGAAAATTATAGGATATTAACTAAACTTATATTCAATGAGGGCTTATTAGTGAATTTGAAGAATCGATAAATTTTTCGTTAAATTTTGTGAAGAATGTGTTTGTTGCGAAAATCAATGATATTCAATCATCAATTCATTGTTATCAATTGCTAAAAGATCAATCTTTTTTAACGTAACATTCTTTCCACTAACATTTGGGCTCCATTTCCCAAGCAAATGTGGTAAAAAAGCATCAAAATCGAATTGTTCTTCCACGGTTAATTGAATGCTGTCAAAATATGTGTCGAAACATTGCAAAGCGCGAATTGCTTCATCGACTGAAAACTCCTTGTCGTAAATTATCATTCCCTTCAACATTGGCAAAAAAATTACCTTCAGTAGAATATAATCAGTAAAAATAATGTGCCTAAAAAAATATCCAATTTTAAGATCTTCGATGGAATTTAAATTCTTTTCGGGTCTTCGTAGAAATGAAAAATCCCAGTTAAAAAACAACTCAAGGATTCGTATTTGTGGATTCAGTTGAATTATCGCTTCGATACTGTTTTCTTGGTAATGCGTCAACTCTTCCACCACCAATCGTTTCAAATTCGGAATATGCACGTCGAAAACATTTCTAATTTCTTGAATCAAATTTAGCTCCAATGATCGTACGTTCGGAAAGACATGATTAAAACGTACAAATACACTATCTAAATAACATTTTTCATATCGAACAGTTTCTACTATTGGAAATTCACCACTGATATGGAACAAAGCATCAAAAGTTTCGAATATTATTTTCGTCACAGATTTACGGCAGTATTTGACCAAATAGTCATTCAATAGAATTGTATCAGCCTCCATCTTATGTGTAAAGTTATTTATATGGCCCTTAATATGTAAATTTTTGATTAAATGACCAAAGCAACGAAGAATCTGCAAACAAGTTTTTAACCCGCTGATTTTTAGTTGATCCGGTTCTTCGCCAAAAGGTGATGCCACGGAATTTTCGAATAAACCAAGCCAAATTTTGTTCTTCCCATATCTTCGAGCAAAGAGTGATTCGGCGACTAATTTAACATATTTATTTGAATCAGACACGTTCAAGAGATCACTCATGCCCAAGTGGCTGAAAATACTTTCCACACAATCGAAATTTACATCTGTTATTTTGATGGCTTCAACTAATTGTTCAGGTGCACATGAAGTCTGGCCATCGGAATCTTTCTGCGTGTCCTCGTTTACCTTACAACCAAATTCAATCGAATTAATTGATTCAACTAGTTCACCACTCATTTTTTACTTGCTTTTTTTTTCTGTTGATTATCAAGCTGAAGAGTATTTCTTTTATTTTACAAATTTTTCAATTTCAAGCTAACGAAAATTGGGTTTTGTTCAAAAGAAATTATTCTTCACATGAACAAGTTATAACACAACAACGTATACGTTTGACTCTCAAATGGAAACTGAATTTTACAATGGACATGTTCATGTTTTTATAATTATATTTTATGAAGAAAACCGAATGGTCTGAAATGGAATAGCCAAAACTTCGGTTTAAAGTGATCTGGCTTGAAACTCGGTTATTACATTTTATTCAAGAACTTCAATACTAAAACATCTGTGCATAAAAATGCATCTGCAATTCTAAGAGAAAAGGGCGGGAAAATATCCAGTTTTCTCCATTTGCGTTTTCTCCAATGTCTTATACCTGAAGTTTCAACAGAATCTCCTTGCAAATAATGCCCATACTGTCTTGTAGAGAAATTGGAGAAACATCTCAAGATTTAGGCTACAAACTATCGTCAAGAGACTTTGCAGAGTTAGTTAAATACTTTCGGATAACTATAAGGTATTTATAGCGGATTAAGTAAGATGGGAACAAATTAGCAACAATACCCAAATACCCTATGCTACATATTTTTCTTAAATCTGAGCTCATCAACTAAGACATGAAATCATAATAACGACTAAGTTGAAAACCAGGAATTTGTAGGTATGATTTTCAAATTGAGCTTCAATATTTGATATTTACAACAAAAAAACGGTAAAAATGTGTAGTCCAGGATCAAGCGACTATTTCTCAACTATAATAATGTTCGGTTCGTACAAAAAAATATTCACTTCTCTCAAATTATTAACCATTTTGTGTTGTTTTTGAATCACCGAAATCATCTGTATGCCAATATTACTATGACATTTCTCCTGCAAATTACACATTTAACTAGCTATATGGGAAAATGGGGGATCGGATTGCTAGCAGCTATATAGGGAAAGATATATCGAGAGTAAATGAAATTCTTGACACATGCCTTTGAAATCATGATTTGATGATGATCAAACATTGTTTCTGTTGAAGTTATTGGCTGTGTTCAAATTTTACTGATTTTTTCCTTCAAATAAATTATCCGCGTTTATCTCAAACTAAGTTCATGCAATCGTCAGATTTTTTTTGCTGAAGCAACGCATTGTATGGTTGTTTCATTATTGTACTGTTCGCACTGCATAGTGCATACTCGGTGCATACATATCATAATCAGAGAAATCCTACTTTTGCCCTAGTGTACTCTATGCTTGCAAAATAGATGCGACATCAAAATTAGTAATAACTTACCTATCCATGCACCATAGGCAAATTAGTTGAAAAATATGTAACAGATAAATCCTATAAATACATAAAAACACACTAAAAAAATATCTGTAAGAATTTACACGATAATAACAATCAAAATGGGATTTATATGACGAATCGTGTAAAACATTAAAATATCGTGTAATTTTTTATGTTTCAAAGTTGATGCAAACATTTGACAGATGTGTATATCGGGTAATAGTATTGACCAATTCATTGATTTATTTGAAATTACACAATATTTTATCGTTTTTAGACGATTTTTCATATAAATCCATGTTTGATTGGTATCATCGTGTAGATTCTTACAGATATTTTTTAGTGTATAGATTCATATAAAATATTTTTAGCCTTGCAGTATTATAACCCAATTTATGATGCAGCTACATTTAAAATTCAACTTTTAATAATCCTGACTTCAGTAGTTCATCCATAATTCACATCTGCCTAGATTAAATCCATTTTTTATCGTTTTAAATTTTCTGAAACTGTTTTTTTTTTAATTCGAATAAGTGAAATCATGTAAACACCTCAAGGGTTTTTGTTTTTTTTTGGCATTTTTTTTATTTGAATAAAGCACACAAACACATTATTAACAACATAGTATTCACATGATGTTTGTTTTTGAAAATACATGCGTATATAATTGAAAATCCGGTTAAAAATTTTACAATAAATTACAAAGCAAATACAAAAAAAAATGTTCGTTGAAGTATATAATTGTTTTTTTTTTTTGTTTAAAATGTGTGACAAGTTTAAAAGTGAGTGTGTTTGTGAATGTAAAAACGATGACGTGTTTTTATATTTGGATGTTTATGTTTTGTTCATTCGCTGGATGGAAAATGGAATGAAGGAATTCATGTCAAGAAACTTGTAGTCATCGAAAACGGCAGGGTCATCGAGAGGAGTTGGGCCATTCGATTGGATGGTAAATGAAAATCAAATGGCAGCAAATCGGTGAAGGTGTTGTGTATTTGCTTAGTAACCGGCCAATTCGGCGAATGTGGAGTCCATTTCGTCGGCAAGACTTTTGTATCGGTCCTTGTTGATGCCCAATTCGTCTAAAAGTGTGTAGAAAACAGAATGCGTTAAAATCAAGTTCGTATAATTGCGATGTCTTTGTATATGTGTGTATAACTCAATAAATGTGTTAGGATTTTTTTCTAAATATTTTTTTTTTCTACAATGAAGCACTTAATATGTTGATGTTAGCAGAAAATACCTTTGCTAGATCGAATTTGGTTTTCTTGTTTGCATTTTGGTGGTTATTTATGAGCAGCTGCAGAGGCTCCGAAACAATTTACAATTCTTTCAAAAGGCTCAAGCGTTTGTTTGTTATTTGTTTTTGTTTTGGTTTTAGCAGCAGTTGACTAGCAATATCTTGTACGTTGTGTCTCTTTATACATTGTTTTTTTTTTTTGAATTCATCACTTATTGCAACTATATAATACATCGTTTGATTGTTTGAAAGTTGGTGTCATTGTGGGTTAGCAGTAAGATTAAGATGTTAATTTTTTTTTTTCAAGAAAAACAGAGGGTCATAATACAAAAATGTCTGTTCACGATGAAAGATCTAATGTATCCATTTTCGATTGGGAGGCAAAAGAAGCACAAGTGGGATTGGGGCAAAACTGAAAGAACGACAGTGGGGTTCAACAGGGAAATTTGGATTGATGGACATTTTACAAAGGACTGGGCCACAAAGTCGTTCTAATTGAATTGGGCCACCGAATGGATGATTCATTGTGGTCACTCAAAACGAAAAAGGAATAGATCAGGAGAAGATAGACCAAATTTTGATAGAAAGAGGGAGAGAGAGAGAGAGAAAAAAAAATAACAAGCTCTGAACAAATTAATATCCAGTAAGCTCAGCAAATGTTGAATCCAAATCGTCGCAAATTGCTTTGTATTTTTCTTTTTCGTGGAACAGACGATCTGTAAATATGCCGAGGCAATTGATTAAAGCATCATTATCATTTGTCTGTACAAGTTTAATAAATCAAGCAGCAGCGTTTAAAATTGCAACTTGTTTTTTTCCTCGCTCAAGTTTTACGCATTTTGAACACTGCTAATAGGAATCAAAAAGGCAAAATTTGATTTAAAAACTTAGCGATCAAGTTAAAATATTTATCAAAACCCCAAAAAAAAATAACTTGTTCAAAATTGGTTTAACACTTTTCTGTACAAAATTACTTTGAATTTGATTAAATAGAATAATTGATAAATTAAGGAGAATTTTCGGGGCGAACATACCTTCCAGTCTGTCGACTTCCTTTTGAAGTCTCTTGACTTGCTTCTCAGCGCTTTCAGCACGGTTTTCGGCTTCCTTGAGACGCACAGTAAGAGTTTTCATTTCACGTTTGAATTCTTCTACTCGTTGGTTGGCCTTCTCTTCCGACACTTCCAATGATTTGAGCGAGTTTCCGACGACCTACATTGAGAACATATTTTTGGTTTTTTAAGTTTTTTTCGTGAATGTGCATTTTACGGTAGCATTTTTTGGTAAGAACAGAACAAGGTGTTTTGTCGATTGTCAATCAACGATTTCCGTCTAAATCAATTATTGAACGCACCTTCAATTCTTCTTCGAGTTCCATGATTTTGGCTTCGCCAGATTTGACACGATCTTCAGCGACTTCCAATTCATCTTCAACGAAGGCCAATTTGCGTGACACTTCATCGGATTTACCGTCAGCATCTTCAGCAAGGAGACGAGCTTCTTTCAATTGGTTGGTCAATTGATCCATACGCTCTTCATCTTGTTGAGAACGGTTTTCAAGTACTTTGCACATACTGGAAATGGCGAGCAAGTGAAAGCGAGGGAGAAGGCGAGGGCGATGGAGATGGAGAGAGGGCGAGATCGAGAAAGGATGAACGAAAAATGATAGAAAAAGAAGGAAAGAGAGAATGATTACGATTAGATTCGTTTACAGATTCAAAATTGAATGGTTTTCATTCTGGTCGCTCAAGTAACATACCGGTTGTTTTCATCAGCCGATTGGGTGGCTTCCAACAATTTAGCTTGTGCGGTGCCTGAGCGTTCTTCGGATTTTTCCAAATCCTCTTCAATTTGTTGAACCTTACGATTCAAAGTGGCGACTTCGGATTCGGTAGCGGTGAGGGTCTTTTCTTTTTCCTCTAATTCTTGGTTGGCCAATTCCAATTGGTTCTTTGAGTTGGCGAAATCGATTTCAACTTGAGCCAATTTCTTTTCGCAATCGCGTACTTCCTCAAGAACTTTGTCGGCACGCATGTTGGCATCTTTAGCCTGTCCTTCACAGGTATCGGCCTTGTCTTGGGCATTGTCTTTTTCAAGCTTCATAGCTTGCATCTTCTTCTTGATGGCGTCCATGTTGATGTAGTTTTTTTGTTTTTGCTTATTTGCTCTCAAACAAAGGAAAAAATTAAACGGGAATTTGCTACAAAATTCGAACTATCTGCAGAAAAAAAATGGGAAAGAAAAAAGAAAAGTTCAATGAAAAAGAATTCCATTTCTTTTCACACTTCCGCACACAAGGTGCGTAAATATTTTATCGTAATCGTCGTAAGTAAATAGAGTAACGTAGAAAAAATATTGTATTTTTCGAACTATTGAAAATCAAGAATTATGATTGAAAAACGGTGAACATATTTGTTTTTGCTATTTGGTCAGGGCGGGGATGAGAAAAATCGTCATTATTTTTTTTGTTTTTCGTCTAATATTAGAAATGTGGTATTAAAAATTTGTATTCAATTCAGTCTCATGGTTGAAAAAGGCGATTTTCCGCGGAAATAACGATATAGTTTAAAGTGGAAACGAAATGAAAAATCCAAATAACTCCCACATACCAAAACGCATGAATGTCTCTAATGCCTACATATCGCAACATCGAATCAGAATAATAACGACGAGAGAGAAAAAAAGAATCATCACGCCAATACAGACATGCACACTCGCATACATACAGACACGAGTTAGAATGAAGACGGCTATAAATGATGTGGGCCTGTGAAAGATGCATGTATTATTATTTTTCTCTCTTTTGAATAGCTCAACTGGTGCGACAGGCGCGCGCTAGCAAAATTTTCTATTTTTAACATTCATCTTGGTTGAAAGTATTTCGGCGTTTTTTCACATCTCTTTCGCCTCAGCATATTTTGCTGGTGTTACGTCTATATGTGTTTATGACTTCTCAAATGAAATTTTTTTTTCTTTTTTTTATCGTTGTTCGTTTTGCTTCGATTTTTTTTTTCTGTTTCGTTCTTCTTCTTTTTTTTTGGCTTGAATCAACTCCAATTTTTATGTTTAAAATAGAACACGAAACGATGGAAATTTAAACATTGGCTTGATATTGAACACACCATGCAAGTATGATTCACCTAGTTTTCATGAAAGAGAGATTTGATGCTCCAACGACGATTGAGTCGCGGAACGAAATTTTCGATGTAACTACAAATTGCGTAGGAATGCTGCTACGGATCCGAGATCGATTTTTTTGCGAAATGATTTTGATTCAGACAGATTTTTTAGGAGGTGGTTTTTGTGATGGAGAGGAAGATTCACCTTTTGAAGTGAGTTGAGTCTTGATCGAATAGGTGTCATCTGAAAAACTTTTAGGGAGATTTGGAAAATTGCAAGAATTTACTCCAATATTCCTTTTACATTTTGAGACAAGAAAATTAGTTTTAGTAGCAAATACAGTCTTTTTTTCAATAGTAAGGACTGTAGTGGGTTTTTTTAGGTGATAAAGATCCGTCTACAATACCGAAAATCACATCAATTGACTGATCAATTCGATTTTTTTAAAAATCAGACTGAAGATGAAAACCAAGATTGATGATGAAAAATGTCTGAAATTGATGAATTTGAAGGGAAAAGAGCGAAAAGTATCAAGTCCGTTTCGCCATTGTAACGTAGACAGTGCGAAAATAGAACTAGCAATTTAAGTATGTACCACCACTCATACAATAGAGGATTTTATGCGAAAATTTGCCAGGCGCTAGCCATTTGTGGCCCTCTACACACCGTTTCGCCGTGTACTGTTTTTATATTTTTTTCTTTACATCATCGCCGTATTTATAAAAGAAAAAGCCAATTGCTTCATAGTGTCTCTTTCTTTTTCTGTCTCACACATCATAACAGAGATCTTGGTGTGAATTTTCACCGTCACTGATTTCGAACAAAATATATGTGTATGAAATGATTCTAGATCACGGCACGATACGAAAATATTTATTTATAAGCACGCGTGGGTGAGAAAATTTGAGCACACTATCCAATTGGAATTATGTCCATGACTCTTTTTTTTCTCACGAAAATTTTATGCCACACAATAAATATCCCACTGATATTAGATTTTCTTTTGCCTGTTTCAAGGAACGTTTTTTCGTTGCGTTTTTTTTTGCCCTTTTGCTGATTTCTCCAATTTTCTCTTGTTGCCTTTTTCTTTGTTGCTTTTTGACGAACTTTTTGACTAAGTATAAATTCGTCTTTTGCATTGAAGAATCTTTTCTTTTTTCTTTTTTCAAATCGCGAATTTGAAAATCATTTAAAATTTTGTATGAAGAAAATTCTCAAAATACAATGAGTTCAGCGAATAAAAATCGAAAAAAAGTAGAAAAAATCATAGTAGTTTAATTTGATTCGAAGAAAAACTTCAATTGCATTGGGTTGAAAGTTGAACTTTTCTTTAACACTTTTGCTAAATTCCACAATTATATAATGCGAAAAATTTGTGTCACAAAATTCTCAGGATTTTCCATTTTCGATCAAAAATTGACATAGCAATAAAAAAAAAAATTATTTCACCGTTTTTCAATCACTAAATTTAAAATCACCAATCGAAAAAAAATTCACATTTTTTTTTTCGAGAGAAAATTAGTTGATCAGATGAAGAAGAAAGAAAAATTCCACAGAGTTAGAGCTGAGCAGAGAGCATCGAAACTAACCTGAGCGCTCGAAACAGTCCACACGACAGTAAAAACGCGAAAGCACTGACGATCGTTGATCTATTCGGCCCCACCTTTTCGAGTCACTTTCAAAAGAACCGCTCGCATCCATCGCATAGATTTCCCCTTCGCTACGTACACACGCACGTTCACAATTTGCATAAAAATAATCGGCGCATACGCTGCTAATATATTATGTCCTTATGATGACGAGATGGTCGCCACCGCCACCGCTGCCGCAGTAGTCGTCGTCGTTGTCGTTGGTGCAAAAAAAAAGATATTTCACATCGGAAATTTCGACTTTTTTATTTTCTATTTCAAAAACTTCAAAACATGAGGTTTAAATTTAAAATTATGTCTTTGAAGAGAAAGCCGAGAAAAAAAACTCACAATAACCGAAAATCTGCTTGCAAAATGTGTTTAGAGCGGGCACCAATAACAAGCAATCATCATTTCGCCCATGTATTGTTCATAAGTATGCAAGGTTAGCATTGTGAGAGAGAGAGCGAGTAAATATCATCCTTAATCCAAGCATATCTTCATTTTGCCCAGTATTCAAAACACTCGAACAACTTTCAATTTATGTCTTAAATTGCAATTTTCATTCACATTATTCAATTGTTTCGAGAGTGTCTAATTTTAGTCTCACTCGCATCGTTAATTTGTTATGCTGCAAACGATATTTCTCATGGTTTTGGGATTTTAATTAATGTCAAGGAGACGGTTTGTCTCTGGAACACCACCCATTTCATATTGGAACCAATTGATTCGACCGACTCTCAGTCCACATTGATCGGCTGGAGTATCAATTCAATCTATTTTTATTTCCATGGCCTGAATAGCATTGTCCAATTTGTGTGTGTGTGTGTGTGTGTGTGTGTGTGTGTGTCGGGAACTGGTGACAACATCGCTCCAATTTGAGATGTTTCGTGTCGGCTTTGCTACAAAAATAAAAATCCGTTTACGATGTTCACGTCTACGCAGAATCGTACATCTCTCGCGCGCGAGCTGTATCACTATCAGTTTGTGTTCGTGTGTTTGTGTGTTATTTTCATTAGCTTTTTCTCGGTTTTTATCACAACATTCTTTTCCATTGGATTTTGGCAACAGGCCAAAACCAATGAAACACATACTCAATACACTGTGATTATACCCAGGCCAACCCGCTTTGTCACACAGTTTTAAATGCAATCGAAACGTGGGCCAGAAGTGTCATTCGGGTTTTAAATGAAAGATACATTTTATGGCCGTTTTTTTACACCTATTTGATTGAAATTTTATGTCATATTCATCGGCTGAATAAACATCGAATGAAAATATAGAGAAAAATCAAATGAAAAAATGGAAAAGAAATGTTAAAAATGGAAAAATTTGAAAGGCAAAAAAATGAAAAAAAAAAAAAACAAAATTTGGAAAAAAACAAAAATATTAAAAAAATTGATGAAAATTGCTCCGGAAACGGATACGGATTGAACAAAGAAAAAGCCCAATGCTGCAGTTTACACGCATATATCCCTCTTCATTTTGCCAAATAAAACGCACATTTTCACTAAACAAGACAAGTACATAATGTGTTGTTATTCAATGAATAGCTTATTATTATTATCATGCTGTTAACAGGTTTACTTATTCAGATCAAAAGAGAAAATTCAGTGCTTAAAATCAGAGAATACTTCAACTAGAATATTTTTCGGTGAAAAATACGCAGGAATGTAGTCGACTTGAATACGTTGCAATATTTTACTATAAAAATAAACGGATTCCTTTTTGAGGTCGATCACAAGAAGCGCATTAACCAATTTTCCACAAAATTAATACAAATTAGAAACGGATGCATTTAAATAATTTCCAGAATTGTCTATTTTTCCCTCTTTAAATTGAAGGCAAATAGTGCTCAGTTGGTTGTGTCGAATAGATTTTCGGCATCTGTTTCAGATTGGCATTTATGTCTTGCGTATTTACGATCATCGGCAACGATGTGTTTGATGACTGAAATGAACGTACAAATTGCAAGCGTCTGGTAATTAATTCACTCATTCAATCAAATACTCGAAATACCTTCGATTTATCGCGTGAGCGAATCGACTTGTATGAGTCAGGATGCTCGACTGAATCATCTCTATGCTTGGCTAAATAGTCTTCAAATAGCGGATGGTTCATTAAACGCTCGCATGACCATCGTTTTGCCGGGTCTTTGTCCAAACATTTCTAAAATAAAGGCAAAAATACACATTAATTTTTCGCAAAAAACGAAGAGAATAAATAAAATTGAAAAATGAACAAAAAATGATTGGAGAGAGAGTGAGAGAGAGATGGACAAAATTGTAGTTTCTTTTGAGAAATGGACAAAACTTTTTAAAAATGAAGATTGAACGAAAAAAAATTGAAATTGCTTAGGAAATTCTAACTTATTATTGAAAATTGTTAGGAAATTAGAAGAAAATTTTAATTCTATAAGAATAATCGCTTTATAAATCTCCAACTCAACTTGAACATTTTCATAATAAAAATAGATCAACTATCACATTTATCGGAAAAAGAAATGAAATCGACTTGAATGAATTGGTCTATTTTTAACCATTAGTCAATTTTTGTTATCTCATTTGTCTCGCACAAAAACAAGAAACAAATTTAAAATCCCACCAGCAGTAGCACTTGGCTTAGAGCAACCGGTGTGAAATTGTTGTTTTGCTTTGTAAATGTGTTTGAAATATTAATTGGAGAAAATGTGAATTATACTTATTTAGTAGGTGTTGTTGAGCTGTTAATGAAATTTTCACTTAATTTATTCTGTGGCATCTGTTTTATATCAACAGTTGTAATACAAATAAATTGTTGACAGGGTATATTGAATTGACAAAGTACAACAAAGACAAGACTGCGTCAAAAACTGCCTGTTTTCAAATCACTCGGTAACTTAATTACGCGTGGGCGGATCAAGTGATTAAGATCAATTGATCTTAATCATTTACCCAAAAATCGCTGTGATTAACATGACAATTAATTCGGCCAAATGATTAATTGATCATATGTAGAGTAAATCGTGAATAAAAGTTTCATACAAAAAACATGTCGATTTTTACCAGACGATAAAATTTTGCAGAAAAATGCATCTGGCAAAAATCGACATGTTTTTTGTATGAAACTTTTCTTCACGATTTTCTCTACATATGATCAATTATTCGATCAATTGATCACTTAATCATTTGGTCCAATGATTGGATGAAGTGGATTTTATCAACCGAGAAATGAATAACGTTTCATTTTGATGTAGAAAGAAATAGAAATTGTTCCAATTAATTTCAATCTTCACGGTGGCATTCAGTTGATCTATTTATATTTTTTGTCAACCAAATTCCGGAGATTCGGCGATTTCTTCTTGCCAAATGTGAATTTTTCGTATTGTGTTTGTGTTGAATTTTCCGAATTCAATCTTCAGTTTCATTGTGGTGTGACATTTTCTGCATATACGTTATAACATCATACCCTTGCAAAGTCCAACATTTCAGGATGCTTGAGTACTCTCGACGGGAACTTAGACTCCAATCCTTCAATAACTGGTGGCACTGGTAGAGATATTCCCTAAAAAATGTGAATTTGATGATATTAAATTTGATAGGACAATATTTTTGGATGATTAACCATTTTCAAAATGAATGAGAGAATACAACAAAAAGTATTTCATTATAATAAAAGTAGACCATTACACGATACTATCTCAGAGATAAAATTATGCGATTTAGAAAAAAAAATGATTTAATGTTAAGTCCAATTGCTCATACTACTACTCATAGTACTTTAAATTTATATGGCATCAATTTGGCATAAATTTTACGAATCTGACCAAACACCCCAGCCAAATGCAAAATAAGAACGTTTCAAAATTTTATCGGCCATATAAATTTATAGTATGAGCACTTGGACTCAACATAAATATTCACTGTTTAGAATAGGAGAACAAATAACGGAAGAAACAAATTTACAATCCAAATTATTTCATAATAATTTAATAAACAAGAATTCAATCTACGATTATCGGCATACTCACTCCAAAGTACTCATTTTGACTGAAGATCAATTGATGCCTTGACAAAATGTCACCAATGGTCTTTCGAATGAGATACAATTGGTCAACGTCACTTCGGCCTGGCCACAGTGCATTTCCACGAACCATTTCCGCATAAACACATCCAATAGCCCAAACATCTACTGGTGTTCCATACTGAGTGTCTCCTACTAATAGTTCTGGAGCTCGGTACCATCGTGTAGCTAAAATATTTGATCATGAATTGCATTCCACTTTCGTGAAATCATAGTATAATTGTAGAATATAGTTTATTTGTATACATATCCCAAGAAACATTCATGTAACGCAATTTAGTCATTTTTAACGTTAAAAGATGTAACGTTTTCAGACTTTTTTTCCGTCAAAATCGACTGAAATTTCAGTGTAAACCAACTGTATGAATATTGGGAACGAGAAAATGTTAGATTTTAAATTAAAGAGAAAAGAATTATGTATCAATTAATAGTGTTCACAAAAATAGTATAGAATTCTATGATTTAAATTGTTCATGTTTTTGTTCATGTATTGATCCAAAGAGAATGAACTAAATGGTGGAAGTATATTTTCAAATTCATTTCTTCTGATTTTCAACGATTACGTTTTAAATTGTCCAGAGATGGCAGGCAAAACTAATGTAGTGAATATTCCCGCTATTAGTGTTGGTTCATTTTGAAGTTTGTTATTATAAACAAACCGCCGTTCACAATTTCACCATGTCATGAAATATGAATCTTTGCTTCGTTCGACTAAATTCATATTGAACAGCCAGCAAAAGGGAAAAAGGGTAAGTCATTTGAATTGTTATCGTTGTGACATCGAACGAGTGATCGAACCAAACAATACCACCGTGTGCATGTGATTTTCGAAATCAACAAACCATCGATTGTTGTGTGTTTTTTTGTTTGTTTACAGTTTTGATCCGTAGCCTGTGGAAGAAATCTGCTGTCGAAATATCGTGAGCGTTTCGATATTTTATCACGGTGTTCGGTGTTCGTGTCACAACCAAATTCAGCTTGATGTGTCAAACTGATGCCGGTTGCACATTCACATTGATCTGAACATTTGGAAAGGCAAGTCATTTGTTGTGAATACTGTTCGATTTACAGTGATTGTTTTTTTTCGTTTTTCGTTCAAATTAAGTAATTTAGAAGCAACAAAAAATCATTTCTAGTGCGTTCTAAAGTAATTGTTGTGTTTTCATTCTATTTTTTCAGGGTTCAATAATGGGCGGAAAAAGGATTGGGGCACATGCCATTCGTGGCAATAGGTCGAAACCGCGGAAAGTTAAAGATGGCAAGCAAAAGGAGGAGAAAGCATACTTTGCAATCAAGTTGGCCGCCACTAGTATTGTTCGACCGGAATATCGTGATCGTATTCTGCCATGGATCACAAAAACCAGCATAAAATGCACCGAAATATCTGAATTGGCGTCGCTTTTATTCCTCAACAAAGTCAGAGCTGCCACTGAACAGGCCATCATCACCGGCAATTGGGAATATTTCGACGATGGCGATGGAATGCACATCATCGAAAATTGCTTCTATGCTGTGTTGCGGCGCTACAAGGAAGACGATTTCATTATGGATCCATGGTTCCGGCATTGCTTTGAGAATGTGGACATCGAGAATCGCTCCGCATGGCCAAACAATGATTACTTCGGCAACTTGATGAAATATTTGTTCCAACAATATGGCCGTAATGTGAAGACGAATTTGGATACACATGCACAGAAACGATTGCGGTATTTCTTGAGATTGAAGGCATTCAGACAGAACTACACTAACCGGATTCGTGGCCTACCGGACACATACGATGAACGAGATGTGGCAAATGCAGTGTCATGGGCAATCAAACGATATGACGCAACAAGAGGTGATGCTAATCGCTTGGCCAAACGAGATCGATTGTTGCGTTACGTTCGAGACATTCGTGGACCAGCTGACGATGATATCGCCAAATTCACCAAAGACGAAGATACATGGTTTGCATCATTGCCAATGTGGTTGATCATGCAATCAGAAATCGAAACGCACCTCAACTGGGTTGAACAACACCACGACAACATCGTGCAAGTCATTGCGTTGCCAAACATCAAGAATTTGGTGGTCATCCCAATCTGTCATCACACGCGAAAGGCAGTGAGAATAGACGCTGATGTTTTGTATCGTATGATGTGCGGAACCGGTACCATTCCTCGTGATGAATATGGTCGGCAACACTCAGGAAGCGACGTCACGTCAAAATCAAATCAAGCGTATTATTTCAATATGATTTTTAACATGGGGAAAATCAATCGAGTGTTGAAAGCAAACAAAAAATTCGAACATATTCTCAGCGATGGTGTATCGGCATCGATTCTGTACACAGTGAAAAAAACCGTTGTCGACAAGTTAGTGGAAGATGGTTTGGTGCGTAAACGGTACTCTGATGGCTTCTATGTCTATGAATTGGGCATTGATTGGGGCATGAAGACGTGGAATGCAACCGTTAGGCGACGAATTAATAATGACAAAAAGCGAATTCATAATGGCAAAGAGGTATGTTAGCGATTGAATGCATTCTATTGTGATTGTGTCATTTGAATCCATTTCATTGTTTAATTTTTATTGTTCGATTTTTGTTTCCATCTCACAGATGAATTTCACAATCAACAGCAAGAAGTATCATTATGGGACCGGAGAAGGAGTGCGTAAGGAAAAGAGAGAGCGATGGACTCGTGCCTTTGGGCAGTTTGAAGAGAGTGATCGAAACAACCGAGTGCGATATGACCGAATGCCATCACCAAAAGGAAGCAATTGGCGTGACTACATACGGCATCGATTGACCATCATGAAGAAAGCCATTGCAGTGTACACAACCAAAAAGTACACACGTTTAAGTTTTGATCATTACATCGAGTCCAATCGGATCAGTGACAAGGTGGCCGCAATGCTGGTAAGAATTTACGATTGAATTTTTGTTTCTTTGGAAAAAATTGAATGTTTTTGTTGTTGCTCAACAGACAAATCGCAAACGATGCATCATTAACATTGGAGCTTCCCAACCAGCTGCAAATTCACCAATACAGATCAAGAAACACGTTCGATGCCCGGGCGTGCGGAAATTGGTGAAGAGTTTCAAGAAAATGGAAGGCAATGTCATACGATTTGTGAACGAAGCCAGATCATCACGATTGTGTGCCAGATGTTTCGAACCATTTCCATTGAGTACATTGAACGATCGTGTCAAGGTGTGTGAATGGTGTATGCCCGATCAAGATGATTGGCCTGATGGAATGAAGCTACCAGAGAAAATTGTAGCGGCAAAGAGCAAGCGGAAGTTACGATCAGAGCGACGAGCGATGCGACAAGCAGCAGTGCAGAATCCAAATCAACCCCGTGGTTTTGTGTCTAAGGTGATTTGCTACCGTAAAAACTGGCAACAAAACGCGGCAAACGGTATGGATGACAATGTTGAAGAGCGCAGAGGTGTAATCATTCACGACGCTGAACTCGGTATCATCGAGTACACAGATGAATATGTGCCCGAAGACCCTGTTGACGACTCTCCAGTACTGAAGACAGTTTGGCAACGTGACATTTCGGCTGCAAAATTGATCTTGTACAGAGGTATGTTACTCATTGAATTAAAATTGATGCAATAGTAATGTGTGTGTGTTTTTTTTCTCTTTGTTTCAGGGCATTGCGAACTCTTTGGACATCGGCTGCATGATGCGTTCACACGTCAACACCTCGTGTATCCAACTCGATTCCGAGTCAACTTCAACATTCATTAATATCAATGGAGCCGCAATTTATGTTTTATTTTTCAAAAGAATTTATGTAACAGTATGTTATTTGTAGTTGGTTGAGGTCTTAGTCTCCCAGACATCATCGATACCAGATATCGATGGCTATCTATTTCCTATAGTCTATATAGATGTAGGTAGAGTACAGGATAATTCCTGTAGGTGAGTATCACTATTTATTAGCATATTGAATATTGATTCATAATCGTTTTTATATCATTCTAATTGATTTGTTTTTACTGCTCTTTTTCTACTTCCATTGTGACGTTAAAAATGACTGAAAATACACCCAAATGCGGGCCCAAATTCAACCGTTTACATACGCTTGGTAATGGATGTATTTGCGTTAACAATTGTTCCTTGGGTCGGTACCATCGTGTAGCTTATTCGTCGAGTCAAATTGTTTATTAATTTAATTTATTCAAGTAATTTCTATTAGCCATTTATGGCTATGTCCTTATAAAAACAAAACAATTTTCTTTAAAACATTTCCGCACTACTCTTCTTTCTACTTGTTCTAACTTTTAACTTGGCAAACTTGTACAAGAAAACATATTTTCCACATAAAATTCATCAATTGTTCGACCTTTGAAATGGTTCAGAGTAATCAAAAAAAAAACTTCACACATACCAACATAATCGGTGTAGTTTTCACCTGGGCTCAACATTCGTGCAAAGCCAAAATCACATAGTTTAACTTGTCCTTGAGCAGTGAGTAAAATATTTTCCGGTTTTATGTCCCGATGCAGACATCCTTGTGAGTGGCAATAAGCCACGCCGTTCAGCGTTTGATATACGATTTGTTTTGTCAACGTATCAGGACAACCCTACAACAAACAGCATGAAGAGGTATTTTAATGGATATTTTTTGTGAAATTATTTTATAAATTGAATTAAAATCGAAATATCAACATTTTTTTAAATTTTCAATTTAAATTGAATTGAGAAAAAAAAAATTTAAAAAAAAATTAAAAATCGACAATAAATGCATTTTTTCAACTCACTTGTGGATTACGTTCCAATTCGTGTAGCACAGTGTGTTCACAAAATTCAAATACTAAATGCAGGCGCCGTTTTCGGCGAAAAACTTCCAGCAGTGAAACCAAATTCGGATGCTTTAAATTCTACATGGGCGAAAAGAACATAAGAGTGTTTGCTCAAAAAATGGGGAATTATTCATTATGCCGGGTTCGGGCACACTTTTTGAGCTCATTGTGAACTCTGGTATTTAATTTTTAAAAGTAATGAGAAATTGTCATAAATTCATTGACAATTTATTCAATCAATTGGAATTGGCCAATGAATAATGGTCAAGACGAAGAAAAAAACAATTTTTATCAGCAAATAAAAAGAAGACTGTGACTAAGTAGACTGAAGGTACGATTTTAATATGTACGTAGAGTCTATAGCTTTCAGTGATGAGTCACGTCCTTCTTTTTAAAAAAAAATCCCCGTTAGACTCACCTTAAGCAATCGAATTTCCCTCAGTGCAATTTTCCTAATAGCTGGATCTTCTTCAGATTCGACAAATCGTTTAACAGCAACTAGACCTCCAGTCTCATGATCGCGACACTTGTAAACCACACCATAAGAACCTTCGCCCAAACGACTGAGCTTTTCATATCGTTCCATTTTCCCACTCTGTACATTCGCTCTATTCAAATCACACAGAAAAAAAAGAAGAAATAAATGATAACGATAAATACAGCGTCATTAAAGCGATTGAGTCGCAACTTGCGGCTCGCAACGAAACGAAAGGAATTTATCGATTAAATTTTAAATGAGAGACACCAGTTAGAAAAATCAATGGTATCAAACAAAATGACTATGGCATGAAAACGGCAAAAAGAGTACAAATCAAATGAAGTTGCGTGACATCAGTGTGTAATGAGAAAAAAAAAGAAATAGAGAGAGTTGTTCGTGAAACAGAATTGGTTTTGACAATGCATGGAAAAAAATGATTAACAAATTTACACAGCAAAAAAAAATACATTGAAATTTACTTCATTTGACGTAGTTTCGTTTTTTTTTTCTAGTATTAAAATGCTTAATTGTCTAAATTTTGTATCAAATCACCTCCAAAAATTTAACATAAATTGCATTAAACTGCTTTTTAATGTCTTAAACTAACTAACTGAGAAAAAAGTGTGGAAAAATTATTAGACTGCGAAGAACACTGAAGAAAAACTACTTTCAAACAGTTGTTTGGTTGTACATCGACTGATGGATACACGAACCAATCGTTCGAAACAACGAAGTTCGGAACGATACACAATCGTCGCAATATCATAAACTGACTCACTTCAACTGACCAATAAAATATTTATTCCGACAAAAAGACATTCACACCGAATAAAATGACTTTATATGTGTATGGATTCGCTATTGTTCCATATGTTACTTGCTCGACATAACGAAAACAAAACAAACTAACACATAACGGAGTATCGAATTGTCCATGCAAACACATGAACGACACAAGTGTCCGTTTCAGGGATACACTCAAACCCGACACAACAACTAAAAAAAAATCGATGGATATTATTTATTTTTCCGATATCATTTAAAACAATCGCCGTCAGTATGTGTTTAGAATTGTCTAAGGGATAGACACGAATAGAAAAAGGGGAAATCATTTTCCGAACCAATATTGACAGTATATTTTGGTGTGTGTGTAATGTCGGTCCAACACTCATATGTACGTCTTAATATTACATTGACCACGAAAAGTTCAACTTTCGGTTTTTAATTCACACCGAATTCCAATTGGTCATTTATATTTATTATCACGATGGCATAGAGTACACCTTGACTCAATCAATGTTGTTGATTGACTAATAACGGATTCGTCGTATTATTTCTTTACCTTCTGGATAATAATGGAAAATGGTTGCCAAAAAGCCATAGCCGTTTCTCTCCGAACCATTTGTCCATATATGCGTTGTTGAAAATGCGGGTAGGCGAATTGTATCCAGGTGATGATTTTTTTTTTACCAGGAAACGTGAATCACTTTCGAGAACATTTAATTTTCACAATTTTTTTTTACATTTTCTAGTTTTTTCCCTGATTGTTGTATGTTTCCGTTGTTATTTAACCGTAATGTTCCAGAAGCTTGTTCTTCGTGTTCAATCAAGCAACACACTACTTCAGTTTGATTTCACAACAGCAACAATCATTGAATTCCGTATAAATACTAAACCAATTTTTTGTACGACTTAATCGAAAAATGACCATTGCCTTTGCTAACGGCGATTAAAAATGAATGCGTTGCCTAGAATGTGAGGTTTTTTTTTCATCGGATGCCTAAATTAGACTGATTTTTATCCTCTTTGTACCAATTGGATTCAAGTACGTCAGACCAATTTTCGTCGTTTGTTTATACTGCAAACACACTTCATAATACATTTCCTGAATTAATTTCGATTTGGATTTCTACGACTGACTGACTAGAGGGGTAACACAGTGGAAGTCGTTAACATTTGGCATTTTCGTTTCAGTACAAATCACTCGGCTCACGTAACATTTTCATTTCGATTTGTTATTTACTATATTTCACTTCGCATAGCATTGGATTTTGTCATGGTGTGTCATTATTATGTTGTAGCAACCGACGCTTTTGATTGGATGATTTTGCATTGTTTTTTTTCACGGTCCATGAAATATCCTATGCTTATATTTGTTTAAAAAAATTATGATTGAAATTGAAAAGATTTAAATAAAATTATCATGATTCATGACATAGATTAGTTGCGGTCTTTTTTACTGCATTTGGGTCGAATCGATGCATTTTTTTTTAAATTCCTTGCTGCTGAAAGAGTGGAAAATATGCTAATGATTCATTAGTAATGAATTAATAATAAAATATGACATTTACAGCAAGAAGACTTATGCTGAAAATCGTGAAGCAAGGAGACTTGAGGTAAAGTAAAATTTAGATAACTAACGCCAGTGTTCTGTAAATTATATTGTCTATTTCTTAGACTCATTTCCGGATTGTAAAGAATACAATGTATACAAAGTCACTCATAACACATTCCAATTGTATTATCAATGACTCGATTCAAATTGTTCTTATAATTATGGCAATTTTGAATTGATGTCTAGACTTTTGTTAGATCCATTAATATAGACTGATTCAGTTTGGCTGAAGGTGTAACCAATGACAGTCATTAGTGAATTGCTGAAGTGATTTGACATAATATCCAAAGGTTGAAAAATGTGAATGATATTTTTGTTTGTCGACATAATTATGCGTCATAAGTTATGGAACAAGAAGTGTCGTACGAAATGTCGTATCGCTTGTAATGTGACTAATTTTGGATATCGTTAAATGAGCGTATACGCTAAGTTATAACATACAGTACGCTAAATGTGGTACGTGTAACGTTCATTGTTGCCATAGAAACGTTTGCATTTATTTATGTCAATATTTTGACCCATAACCATGTATTTTCGGTTCGGAGAAAAATCGAATATAAAACAGTAAATATTAGATTACTTGGGTCACAAGTCGTGCAAATATAGTCTTCGAACAAAATGTCAAAAGCAACAACAATTAAAGAAGCAATCAAACGTTGGGAAGATCAAACTAAACAAAATTCTAACGATGCTAAAGAGATTGGCTTACAATTTCAATGGCCACCAATTGAAAAAATGGATACAACACTGTCAACGCTTGTTAAATGCGAGTAAGTTTGATTTTGGACATTTTTGTGATTTTTTTTTTTTTGAATTTTTTGAAGAAAAGTTTATTTTTATTTTTCAAGAAGATTTTTTTTCTTCAATTTTTCCGGTCAATTAAAATTTACTACACATTTATACTCTTATGTATTGCACTCATACAATTGTATTAGAGCAAAAAAGTTGAAGTAAATAGGAGCAAAAAAAAAATTTAATGACAAAAAGAACGTAACGCTTTTACTTTTTGATTGTAGAAAATTAAGTTTGTCAACAAATATGATAGAAAAAATTACCGGAATAAATGGAATGAAAAATTTACGTATTTTATCGCTCGGTCGAAATTATATCAAGTCATTTACCGGTTTGGTGAGTCATTTATGGTTGAATATGATTGATTCCTTAAGATAAGATAAAAAAATTCAAATCAATTTTTTCAATTATTGAACAGTTATTTTTCTCGTCGAATGAAAAAATAAATTGAATAAATTAATAAAATGTTGAATCGGTATTGGAGTCAATTTCCATGTACAAATTTTCTGAATAAATAATATTGATTCGTCTTTTTTTCATCAATAACTTTTGCTTCTATCTTATTCAAAATAAAAATCGCAAGGAAGGAGTAGCGGATACGCTGGAAGAGCTGTGGATCAGTTACAATTTAATTGAAAAACTAAAAGGAATCAATGTCTTGAGAAAATTGCGGGTTCTGTACATCAGTAATAATTTGATCAAAGACTGGATGGAATTCACTCGATTGCAAGAGGTGCCTTGTTTGGAGAATTTACTATTCACTGGCAATCCATTGCATGAAAGTTTTACGGATGAAGCCACTTACCGAGCTGAATGTATCAAACGACTGCCATCACTGAAAAAATTGGATGGTGAATTGGTTGTTAGTGATGTTGACGCACAATTTGCACAGGCACAAGCACAGCAATCGGCAAATCCAACGGAATGATTTGATTTAATGAGAATTATTACATTTATTTTCTTTCATATTTCTTCCAATGTTTGATGCATTTCTTATGAATAGTTTTCGGTTTTCATATCATTAAGACCTAATTCTTCGTTCTGTTCGAATGAACGATCATATCGTTCGATTTTTAACCGTTCGTCCAGACTGCCATCATCCGTTAAGGCCTGCACATAACTATTTCCAGCTGGATCATCCAGAATCAATGTAACTGCCCGTTTTCCACTCATGATTTCTTGCAGTGTCTCGGAGAATCTATTGAAAGTGAAGCAAAAAGTTGGGTTAGAATTGATGTTGAATTGAAATTTTGGAATTATATTTTTAAATCATTTTTAAGTCTATTTAAATCTACTACTAGTATAGATAATTCGATGTAGAATTTGAGGAAAAATTAATAGAAATTGAAAAAATAAAAAAATAAAAACAATTGAAAAAAATAAGTTGAAAATAAATTAAAAGAAAAATGAATTAAAATTGAATAAATTTTAAAATTGAATCAGAAATATTCATTTCATTTTTGATTAAAATGAAAGATTAAATAACAATTCAAATAAAATTGAATTTAATCGAGAAAAAACACATAAAAATTGTCCATCATTTTCATACTTGTCGATTTTCAACTTGGATTCAACGTCAGCTGAATCGTGGAAGACGGCGCTATTATCGATGATTTGCTCACGAATCGCGTCCAGTATACCTTCGACTGTTGTGAAACGACCGCCCAGTCCTGAAGCACCGAATTCACTATCCAACTCGGGTATATCAATAGTGCACGTATCAGACTGTTCAGAAATAAGAGAGAAAACGGCATATTATTTCAAAACTGGTATTGATTGAAAAAACGACAGAAATAAATAGGTTTAAAAAAATGCATTTTTCAGTTCAATCAGAACGTCAATTTTGAATCACTAATCTCCAAAATTTAATCTGTCTCCAACAAACTCTCTGCTATTGCATTACCTACCTTCAAAACATCTCTGCTCATATCTTCTCTGCCATCAATTTTCACTGTGATCCGAACACCTTGATCTTCGATACCACTGCCGGACTTGACTTCATTGGTCCTCGCGCCGCACACATCACAATTTGTCGACATGATGACAACCTCTTTAAAATGTGGAATATTGGTGAGTTTCATGTTAGTCTCACACTTAGACTTGCAGCTGGGACAATCGGTATGAAACTGTAGCACCTCGCCATGCAACTCTTCCAATGGCCATTCATCTTCAGCGATCGGTTTCAAAATATTCGTACTATTCTCTGCTTTTGCTTCTGATTCCTCATTGAGTTCGGTTTGTGTAAACATGCCAAGCTCATGATTCTGTTCTATCGTTCGATTAAAGTGTGTCATTATGCAATCAGGGTCTGGATTTGGTGCGTTTAAATTTTCTACACGACAATTTCCGGAAATATCTTCAAAAACTATCGTAAATGGTGTATCAACCGACTTAAGGCTACGCAATTTCTCAACAAAAGCATCAATTTGTGCGGCAGCATCTGGATGTTGAACACGACGAACGGGTTGATCTTGTTCAAGCCCGGCAATCGACCGGTTAATAATACTTTCAATAGTTGTTACTTCACCTTTCTGCGACTGGGACGGTATTTCAAAATCCAACTCAACGAATCGCACACTCGTTCGATCCGATTTTACAACACGACGATTCAGGTCTTTCACTGTCTTCACTTTAAGCGTGATTTGACAGCCATTCGGTTCAATTTCAGCAGCCGGCTGGATTTCATTATTCTCATAACCACAATGTTCACACGAAAATGATACAATGATTGTCTCTTTGTAGAACGGTATTTTGGTGAGAAGCATTCGTGTGGTGCCCTATATTTGGATTTTGGATTGATTCATCGGTTAAAATAGCATACAACGGTTGGAATTTAAAACAATAGAAAAATCATTCATTTTCTCCACATAAAGAATATTCTGGAATGAAAATTCATTCAGAAATTCATTCGACCCTAAATAACACTTACATTTTTATAACAATTCATGCAACATGATTCAATCTCAGTAACCGTATGGTCAACATCATCAGCATTGAGGTTTTTAAAAACGAGATCTTCAGTCGAATTGGCCATAATTTTTCAAAATTCAATTCGGTTTTTCTTCAAATTTCGGTAAATTCAATGGAAAAAAAATACAATTAGCTTTTGCACACAATACGAGTGGGTATAGTGAGGTATACATAATATATTATTTGACGTTTCGACAAACATGTGCGCAGTTGTCAACTTGATGAGATTGGGTTGCGTTCAGTGATTCAGCATGACAATGCTCTGACAACTATGGAAAGTTTTTTTTTTTTGCACAAACTAATAAAAATGATTTGAATTCTCGATTTTGCCGTTAATCAATGTACTTTCATGAATTAAAACCACAGTGATTTGGGTTAATTTTCTGAATGAAAACATTTTTTATGAATAAAATAATGAGTTTCCTTGGAAATTTTTCCTTTAGAAAAATGAAAAACATAAAAAAAGAGGTGAAAAGCCAATGCTCTGCTTGGAAATGTATCGCATACCAAGGACATAATATCAAATACACATACATGCATACAAGCATGAAAGAGCGCCGAATATCCGACATCCAAACAGCAACCGCAACAGAGACCAAACCACATGCACATCTATTCGTCTCTTTCTAGCCTATGCACAAACGCTGTAGTGAACGTTTGATTTCAAAGATTGAAGTGAATGTGTGCGCACTCAACCACACAAATCGTATTGCGCACACACAACCCAAACCGATCGAAATGTTTGTATGAAACTGTATGCACCAGAAAGAGATGAACCGATGAGCAGTAGCAATAGCAGCGTGCGACGCTTAACACAGTAGAAGTTGAAAAAAAAAATCGGATATAACGAACGAAAATCCAAACAGTAACAAGAGCAGGCCGACAGTCAGGAAAAAAAAGTACGTTTATTTTAGTCCGAAAGAGACGTTTTTCCCGTACGTGTTACACATATTAAGTTGTTCATTTGTCGTGAGAGTGAGATCGTGTGTTATTTTCTACGGCTTTATTTATCCTGAATAATATCATCGAAAACAATGTTCTAGAGGCTAAAAAGTCGAGGCGAAAAAAAAGATACAAAAAAATGGATCAGTGTGAAATGCGTGATATATATTTAAAAGTGATGACTTTTTGTTGGCATATTTGTTGACCAGAAGTGAAGTAAAAAAAAAAGCAGAAACAACAAATCAAAATTCATTATCCAAATGTCGAAGACTATTCAAACGTGTACCATTTTTAGAACAATTGAGTCATACGTTTTAAATTAACGTGCGAAAAGCAAGCCGAAATAAAGATGTACAACGAATGAAACACTTATTATACGAAATTGTATATACGTGTTTAAGTTCCTTGTCGGTTGTATTTGCATGAGTCTCTTTATTTCGTCCGAATTTTTATGAATTCGTTTTTTTCTTCTGCTTTGGCCGTTCTGTTGCAAAGAGTTGTAGGCAAAAGACCTTATGTGTATACTTTGTACAAGTGAAGAAGAAATAAACAAAGCGCAAAAAGGGAAGAAGAGAAGAAGAAGAAAAAAAACACACAACAATAAAAACGACGAAATCTTCGATATTATCGTTCTCTGTGTGTTGTACACACTCTGTCACCCATACACACGCACAGACACACTAGTTATGCAGTATATGTACAAGAGATAGAAAGAGAGACATAGTGAATAAGTGCTAAGCGCTTTGCAAAGTGACTGTTTTTTTTTAATTTTCTTTGCTGGATATGTATTGGTTCTATGGACATTCCGTGAGACAGCAAAAAGAAAGACGAAGAACACTGTGTGTACATATAAAGTAGCATTCTTGTTCGTTTTGTATCTTCATTCAGTATATTCAACGCGTTCAAACATACATTAGAATACGAAAATATGGCTTGCGCATGAATTTCAAACCACACAAACACAAACAACATACGATATATTTTTTAACGGTCGAAAACGTGAAATGAGTGGAACTGATTATGCGAATAGTACAGGTGTTGTTACATTTGAACATGGATTGGTGGGAACAATGAAGCAATTTGTGAAAATTAATGAAATTAATAAGCCAATGCAACAACGTATAAAAAATAACAACGAAGAGAAAGAAAATCAAACCAACGAACTAGTTACCAATCAGAAAATAATCAAAAAAGTGGAAACGATGTCAACAACATCATTGAAAATTATGGCAAATCAAACATTAGCAACAAGTGAAACCGAAACGGTTATCGACGAACGTATTTGTTTAATTGGTTCAGTGGTTGATGATGAACAAATTTTGTGTGCAGCTCGTTCATTTAATGTGCCCGTTATTACATCGGAAACGGGCTTAGAATATGTCAAAGACACCAAATGGACCACATACTATGTGATGCGCGATTTTGAAGGCGAACATTTTAATGTGATACGTAAAAGTAAGCATCGAATTTATGGGCCAACGGCGTTACAACAAATTGCACAGTCCGGTAAAGGTTTGGTCTATGTCAATCGGCCACTGTATAATTTTTCCATGAAAGGTGTAATTACGTGCTTCACTGGCATTCGAAAAAAAGACGAACTAACACGTTTCGTGAATTTGATACACACCATGGGCGGCAGCATTCGAAAAGATATCAAAAATAATAGCCATTGTACGCACCTGATATGCAGTGCAAGTGTTGGTGAAAAGTATCATTATGCGAAAACATTTAATTTAACCGTGGTACGACCGGCATGGATTGAAGCAGCTTGGGAACGTCGTGATGATCCGAATTTTTTCGCCAATGAAAGTGAATTTTGTGAATTGTACAAGTTGAAATCGTTTGAAGGGTTGCGCATTTGTTTCTATGGATTTTCACCGGAAGAACATCAAGAAATGGTTGATATTTTGAAAATGAATGGCGGCATAGCAACCGATATCGATGATCCGGATTGTACGCACTTGATTTTAGCCAGTAATATTTCCAATTTTCCGGAACTAATAGCCGGCAGTGGGCCAGTGTCACCGACAATTGTTGCACCGCCACCCACGTCATCACATTCAAATTTGGCCAGCACATCGATTGCAGTGGACAAAATTCTACCACCCGATGGTTTGGATCAATTGAATTTGAACGAAAATAATAGAAATGCTCAGTCAATGTTGGGCAACAATCCGCAGACAATTGTTGAAACACCGAAAAAACCATTCAAATCGAATAACGTACACAACGATGCAACCAATGAGGAGAATATCTTTTTGGAACCCGTCAATCTATCGCCAATTTTGCACAACATCGAAGAAGAGGAGGAAGAATGTGATGAGAAAGATGTGTCCAAACGGAAACGTGACAGTTTCGATAACATTTCAATCATTTCAACCGATACATTTGCCGCTCAATTTAGTTCGGCCAAGAAACCAAAACTAATTCGTACCGGTTCAATTACGCGATCATTGCGACGCAGCATGAGTTTTGCAGCATTGAAAAATCCAATCACAAGTATGATCCGGGTGAGACGAAATTCCGTCGATCCAAATGCATCGATAAACTCAATAACATCGATGGAAAGTACCTTTTCCGAAGCCAAACAACGACCTGTCAAAGATAGACTGCTCAGTCTTAAAGATCGCCTCACCAATGGTAACCGCGCGAAACGGGATTTTTGCCAAACACCAAAAACATCGAAACGATTCAACAATGCCGAACCGGTTAATGATGACGATAAATTTGCTCAACCGAATGAGATGAGCATAATGTCGTGTCGAAAATTGATTAACAGCACAATGAATGCAACAGCAATGGCTGAAACGATCGAAACTGATGAAAATCAAACTGTCACCGTCGACGCGGGAAAATTGCCGGACAACAACAATAAACAGGCAACTAGTGCTGATGTTGCCGACAATTCAAATGCAACTGTTACTCAATCACAACCATTTTCGTTAGCATCGACGGAAAATCAACACGATCAGATAAAGGGTGGGTCTCAAAGTGGTGTGCCACATATGGTCAAAGCGGAATGGTTTTGGTACACGATTCAAAAGGGGATTGCAAGTGAAGAAGAGCATAAATTTAGCGATTACCTGGAGAGTGTGACGAATACGCCGGGCGGTGATCGACGCGAATCATTGGTGAAACATCGTAAACGTAAACGCTTCTCAATACTGGGAGCATCGGGCAAACGACGCTCATCGATTTCTGATGCAGGATTATCAGTGTCGGGCAGCTTTCTGGATTGTACCAATAGTCCCAGCATTAAGTATGACTCAAAAGGTAGGTCATTTTCGATTCTTATCTGCAAAATTCATAGTAAATTATTCATAACCACCCCTTTTGCCTCTTCATTCCATTCAGATTTTGATTGTAGCATGGACAATACACCAAAAACAAAGAAGCAAAAATCGATGCGTTTCAATCACTTTATGGATTTATACTCAACGGAATCGAATTACGTGGGCATTTTGCATACGATTGTGTCGGAGTTTCAAAAGCCATTGGAATATATGGTCGATACGGATGAAGAATTGCTCAACAAATCCGAGCTACGGTCGATATTCAACAACTTTTCACCGATCTACGAAGTTCACCTGCAAATGTTGAACCATTTCAAAGAGCTACAGTCGAACTGGACGGATAGTTGTTCCATTGGCAAAATAATACTCGATCATCGCGATGCCCTGGTAAAGGCCTATCCACCGTACGTAAACTTTTTCGAGCAGATGAAAGATATGCTGCAACAGTGCATAGCACAAAATCCAAAATTCCACGCATTCTTGAAAATCAATCAATCGAAACCGGAGTGTGGCCGACAAACGCTACAAGATCTAATGATACGGCCCGTTCAACGTCTTCCCAGCATGAGTTTGCTAATCAATGACATCCTGAAGCATACACCGAAATCGAATCCAGACTCAAAGATTCTGGAGGAAGCATTGAATGCAATAAAAGATGTGATGAAGTACATCAACGAGGATAAGCGAAAAACAGAAGGTCGCGTCGCTTTATTTGACATTTTCAACGATATTGATAACTGTCCAGCCGATTTGGTGTCATCACATCGCAGCTACATTTCCAGGTGTGAAGTATCCGAGCTATCGAATTGCCTGAGCGGACGTGACGATCCGCTGATGATATTCCTATTTACGGACTACATTGAAATTTGTAAAATTCGTAAATCGCGTCACATGAACAACATTAAGTCACCAACCGGTACAATAAATGCATTAAACACAACAACACGTGCCCATACGCACACCAAGTCATATAAACACATTCGATTGATACCGCTCAGTGCAATTCTCCAAGTTTATGATATAAAAGATAGTGAGCGTGCCTTTGCGATCAATGTCAAAGAGAAAATTTACTGCTTCAATATCAACGAGGAATGCGATAAAATTGTGTATTTGAAGAATTTCTGCAAGCAATTAGCGGAGAACGCATGCCGTGCCGACTATGAGCAATTTTTACGGAATTGTGAATCACAAGAATTGGGCATTGATATCAGCGATATCAATTTTGGCACATTAAAAAAGGTGTACAATTACGCACGTACACGTCTAGTCAATCGAGCATTTTCATTTAAGACCACACCGCTTCGATTGAAACGAGCCGTTTCCACCACATCACCACTTTACGCAAGCACAAATTCATTGATGTAATCGATGCACAGCAGCAACAACAATAACAACAACAATGACACACGCTTCGCTGGTTAAAAAGTAATTTAAAAAAGCAAACACACATTCCTCGTACATATGATAAATATAAATTTATTGAATTTTTTTTTCTTCTTTGAATTGTTTAGTTGTTGTTATTGCTTTTTTTTTAAAATCATTTGCAATCGCAAAACAAAATACAAGTCAGCATTATACTCGAATATTACATACTTGCGTACAGTTTTTTTTCCTTCTTTTTCGTCTTCTTCTTATTTTCGACCGTTCGTTCATTCTTTTGCGAGATTCATGTATTTCAAAGCCTGCATAGCGTTAATAAATTTTTGTTTTTCTCAAAACCTCTTCTCTCTCAATCACTCACTCTTAGTCACTCGTTCTATCCCACAATCACTCTCCCTCTCACTTACGTAAGACAATAAGCGATTTTTCATTTTGATACCGTTTTCTAACTAAAAATAACAACTTAACTCAATTTTGTGGCTATTTTCATATTTTGAAGCATTATTTTAAAAAAAATTGTATCATCATGGCACACTCATCTCGACTCTCTTTTTTTTGCTTCATCTATGAAACATAATCGTGTACACAAAGTCATCGCTTCACATTCATCAGAAATCGGAAATGTCAAACGAGAACAGAGCAAAAAACCGAAATAATAACAAAGAAATAAATAGATTGGACAGGATGAAATAAACGAGAGAACATATTCTACATTTTTATGTGGTGTGAATAGATTTCCGCGGGCTAGAGAGTGACAGAGAAAGAGAGAGAGAGAAAGAGAGAGAAAGAGAGCTAAGGAGATCGAAAGAGAACGAAAGAAAGTGACATAGAGCGATATAGAAAGAGCAAGAACGAAAGAATAAGAGAACGCGAGAGAGAAAGAGAAAGAGAGGAAGAAAGAGAAAGAGTGAGTGAGAGTGAGCGTCCACGTGTGGTACTCTGAACATTTCCGAGATGATATTTTTGTTCGCATTTCAAAGGCTTTTCAACCGAATCAATTTTCTTTTCGGTTTATGACGTGAAATTCTTGCATTGAACCACTTTATTCTTCTGCTTTTTCCTCTCTTCTTTTCTTCTACTGGGTTAAACTCTTTATTTTCAGGTCTACATAATTATTAGATTAAATTGTAAAACATTCGAACATATAAATATGTTATATATACAATCTCTGTGCGCATTTGATTTACACAAAGCAAACGTATGATTAAAGAAAAAAATACCGAAAAGCAAACAAAATTCAAACTTGGCGATAGAAATAAACAGAAACTACTCTGCTGATAATATCACTAAAATATACAATTTCGTAATCATCTCTCGATATATTTTAGTTGTTTTAGCGCGGCGAATTTTTTTCTAGCAAAAAAATGAAAAACATAGAGATGAATAAATAATAAATACAATTATTGTGGGAATAAAAATAACAACGAGTATTTTTTTTTCTCTTTTTTTTTCTCTGTGCGTTATTACCTTCATATTTACAGCTTTGAAGAATTCGCAATTGACTCATTAATTGGATCTTGTTTGATTACTCTTTGGAAAAAAATAAAATTCGGAATGATATTTGCAATGCTACCCAACAGTTCGTAAGTACTTCCTTCGAGTATCGAACATTTTGGAAGCTACACGGCTGCTTTTCTTCTTCTCTCTGCTCCCAAATTACTTACGTTATTTGATTATTAACACATGTGCGAAACAAATCGAAACGTTCAACCTCCAATTTACTTTGATAAATAGATTTATTTGCAATTTAGTGGGCATTAGAATCGTATGAGATGCTGGTTTTAATTAGCATTTCATTCGTTCCAAAAACACATTTCACAGGCGGAATATTCAATGGGATTGGTTTTTTATTGCGGTGAGACAGGGGGCAATTCAAACATTTATTATAACCTTCGATTTTTTACAATTATTCGACGTATTGTGGGCATTTTCGAATGAATGTGCAGAGCAATATCGCAATATCACGTAGAAAATAAGCAATATTTATAATGTTATCTGTCTTTGTATGCGACTGAATATGAGAGAAATTAAACTCAAAACCATTTAATGGAGGATATCAATGTAATAAAGGAAGAAATAAATAGAAAAGAAAAAAAAACAAACAAACAAATACACTTGAAAAGAACAAAAAGAGGAAATTAAAAAAAATAAATGTATAAGGAAAGAGATGGAAAAAAAAGAAAAAGTGCCAACGACACATGGTGTTCCCAGACGGTCACCCATTCAAGTACTAACCATGCTCAATGCAGCTTAACTTCAGTGATCGGACGAGAACTGGTGCTTTTTACATGATATGGTCGTTGACGAATGTAAACCGCTGCTCTGCGTACACATGCCCCTGATTCTAAATAATCAAGATAATAATTTCGCACCAGCAAGTTTATTTATGACGACGAAACATTTACTGCATCAAGATTGGTTTTTGAAAAAAAAATTCTCCATAGAACGTTTCATGATAAGATTATTTATTTGGATCGTATTTATCAAATTAAATTCATATTTTACCGCTCAGCGTCAATCATAGTCGCTGTGGCACAGCAAACATGACACAACTGAACTTTGTTCAGAGGTCAAACTGAGTTTTTATTGCATTCATTTCATTTTTTTGCGAACGGAAAGATACTTTGAGTCATTGAGCATAGAAATTTATGTTTTGCACAAGAAATCGGTGATGGTTTTTCATTGTTTTTGTTTTCGGAACTATTGCATTGAATGCATCAAATGATTAAGTAATTGATTCGTATTTTAATTGATTCGCTTGTTGCGAATGTTTCCATGATAGAAACGCTACAAATTTGTGGTGTTTTTCATGATTTCGAACAAGATGTGATCGGATTACTCCAATTGAAGAAGCTTAAAGAACAGGGTTTAAATTTAACCCATCCGCTCGATAGAGCCTCCATTGATTCAATCAAAAGAGTTTTTCAAAAGAGACTCTTTCAAAAGAATCTTTGCGAAAATTTTCAATATTCTGCTACAAATTACGGCTGTAAACTATATTCAAATAATTGGTTTTAATTTATATTTCAATACTGCGAAGAAAAAAAACTAAAAAAAGTTGATTTGTTTTAAATTTGATTAAAATATTCGATTTTATTTGATGCATATTTTGACAATCGTATAAATGTCAAATATGGCATGAACCTATCATTGCATATTGACTGAATAATCCATAGAATTTCAGGGAAATGATTCGACAGAAAATAAATTGAATGACAACTCGAAAATATTGTTCTAGTGTCGGAAAAGCATTAGTTGTCGATGAAAAGGTTTTGATTTGAAAGATCCACAAAAGAAATTAGGATTGTTTCAATTTTTTTGCAAAAAACATGAAAATAAACAAACACGACATCTAGATTTGATTCCAAAAAATATTTTATTTTTTATATTTGTTATGGTTACAATTAAGTATATTATCTAATACAATTTTTTAAGTCTATTGTACAATCCAACCCAAATCAATGAATTCAAATTAATTTAAAAAAAATCACCCGAAAATACTTGATTTTACTTATAATTTGTGTCCAGATATGTAAACTAATAAGCACTATATTTTGGTCGCCACGAATGCTCTGACGATGGATATGAACAGGTGCGTTTTATTTCTACTAAACCATAGCTACTTGTTGATGAATGGTTCTTAAACTTCAAATAAATCGGTTCATCCATATTAATTGTTAGTTTGCATCCGTCCTTCAGTTGGCGTCGTTCTTTGTCCAGAGTTTGAAGAGTAAAATTGGTCAATCCTTAGAATTTTTTTTGCCTAAGAAGAATGGTCTACATCTTTCAGTTTTGCTGAGCGACGTGCAAATGGAATGAAGCCCTCCAAGGAATAAAAAATTTGGCCGGTTTTCACCGGAACTTTTTCTAACAAACTTGCAATCACCTCTAATTTCTTTGATAATTTTCCAATTTTTTTTTCCACAAATATCAGTTCCAAAACGATCTCTCTTAAGATACAACGTTCAGTTACACTAAAACCAACTTGTGTTCATTTCAACGATTTGAATCGTACTGATTTGTGAACAATGATTTGGTCTCTTGAATAGGACAACACTTCACTCACACAGATATGTGCTACATGTATATAAAAAAAATCAGCTAAAGCTCTAGCACTAGTGCATTAGTAACTGCCTGTTTTAAGTCGAAATTTATAAACAAATGGCTAATGTGGTTGGCACGTTTACATGATCTGCCAGATTGGGAAAAAGAAAACAGTACACCCTCTCCGAAAATATTTGCCCAATTTCATATGCCACTGCCAGACAATCCGGATTATAGCCTTCTTGGGAGACATAAACGGCGTATTAAAATAATCCGTGGCAGTGATGTTTTCTTATCGATGTGATAGTACTGATGATGCTAGTTCAAATTCCAATTTGCAACGGTGATAAATGATTTACCATGCATTTATTGAAAACTCAACTCGTTTTGATTTGAATCTCTAATCATAATACTTTTTTCAATGGCCCAAGATGAAGCAATTCAGACAAAGCAGTCAATATGTTGATGATATGAAAATCTAGGAGAATATCACGCTTCAGAATAGTGGCGATATGTTGCGATATTTGAAATAAACATCAATTATATGACCAATTTTCGAATATTTCGAATAAATAATCAAGATTCTTGTGGATTTTTGGAGATATTTGAGTCATTTTTAAAATTAATACCGAATCTAGGTGTAAAACAACATCGGACAACACAAACCAATTAGTGAACGGATCATTATTAGGAAAGCCATTCAGTGGAACAAATTGTATTTTTTGTCCATATGCTAACCATATCGAATGGAAGAAATCATATTATTGAATCAATTTGTTTGAAATTAACAATGCTTTTTTTTATTGGTAAATTAAATCATATTGCGAATCATAAAATGTGTTCATTTTTCAAGTTTTAGGGGGTTGATACTTTCACGATTAGTCTGGATGTTATTACAATCAATCTTTTGGATTTAATGTCTCTCATATATGTATATTCACCTTCAAATGAATTGGTTTCATAAAAATCGGCTGGTGTAACAGGATTGGTATTATTGTAGTGTCAAATAAGTTCTCCATTCCCAATAGACTCAACGCTACACGGTTGAAGTTTATCTTTGTCACTTTTTTTCGTTCGGCAATAAGAATGTGATTGATTTCTGTCTGGATAGTTTCGACCGCTTTATTTCTTTGGTCGATACATTTGTTGAATCTGTTGCTGCTGCGAATGAAGAATAGAAATTAGATTTTTGAAATCGAAAATTGTTCTCAAGTTACTTACCTGAACGTACAGTATTTGGTTTGACACTAGGTACCAAAGTGAGCTTTTCATAATGGCATTTTTCCGTGGGACACTCGAATCCGTGCTCTTTCTTCAAATGATCGATCACACGCTTGCCTTCAAGCTGCAGGAAATTGCATTCTTTACAAAGGAAACCAACTATCGAACGATCCGCCGAATCGCAAACATACAGAACTTCGCCGGTATGCGTTAGAATGTGTAACACCCAGCTTGATCTTGGCATTGTCTGGGTGTCTTCACAGAAGTAACAAAATCCGCTGATATTATTTCTATCGAACATTTTAAATTCGTCGCTTTGTAATCGCAATCTGGCAGCCATTTGCGGTGATGGTCGTGCTACAAGCACTTCATGTTTTCGATGTTTTCTCATGTAATGATTTGGCATGCATGGATCATTTTTGCCGCATAGTTCACATCGCTCACATTGATAAGATGGGTTTTTACAGTGTCTTTCTGGGTCCGTATTTCTTATATATGAAATCGACAAATCTACACTGGCTTCAGTTTCAGAAATATTCTCCATGCTATCATCTAGTAGAAACTCTTCGTTTTCATCGCTTTCTTTGATGCCAGATTGTGTGGATGTTATTGGTTCGACGCTATTTAAGAATGTATCAATGATCCATTTTGCATTTGTTGCATCTTCCGATGTCATCAACATTTGTTCCTTTTTCGGGAGTATTGCGACGGCTTCGATAAAAAGAGAAGTATTTGCTTAACATTCGGACATGAATTGAATGAAATTTTATCGAAAGCTATACCTGATGGAACATTGATTTGTTCTTCCGCTTGCCGAATGAATTTCGTAAGGATTCTTTCAAGTTCAAAATCAATATCTTCGATGGTTTCCAGTTTTCGTTTACGCTTTGACTCGATGGCTGCAATTCTTTCCTTCGAATCTATATCAGCAGCTGTCGTTGTTGTCTTTTCGTCATTAACGATGAATAAATCATTGATGAGTTTAAGCTCCGAATCCAATGTCATCTTGAATGATTCCCTGTTCATGGTGCTGCAAAAAATATAAAATTTAGTTCGAGGTAGATTTCATTTGTTGTTAGCAACAATTTGTTGCCTTCACAAAAATATTTATGGATTCAAAAGGTTTTGTTTGTGGTTTTCGGTGGTAAGCATCAATTTAACGCTTTTTACGAATGTTTCGCATTCGAACATGTAACTTGTGTCTTAATTAGTCGACAGAGGTTCAAACCTGCTAAATATACACATAACACATATTTTTTTCAATTGGATCTATTGCTCACGAAACGTTTTCAATTGTAATTTTCAAATAATATTTACCTCTTAATTGGACGAAAGAAAAGCTACAATTTATGAACTGAAATTCAACGTTCTTGATGAAAATGGAGAAATATGTTTTAAAAGCACAGCTATCTCTTGCAACGAACTGAAATATTTCAACCAATTTTCACTGTTTGAATCACCAGAGAGAGGATTCAAGCGACACAAGTTACAACTTCAAATATCTCTTTACTACTGCGTACAGTGTTCGTTTTGTTGTTACTATTTAAATGAAATGAAGGACTTCGGATTCAAAATGACTCCAAATGCTGATATCTGAAATTCATTCTTTCGCAGGTAAAATATGATCTACCTTCGGAAGGTATCAACACTACCAATAACGGCTATTTGCTTGGCTACTTGAATAGTCCGTTTGCTGCAGCATGGGTACAGGGTACACACATACGAACACACATTTAAAAACAAACTCTGGTACTTTCTATGGTTAAGTACAGTCAGGATCGGTTTGCTTTTATATAAATACATGGTAACGATTTATCGTACATCAAATACGCATATGTAAGACACCGGCACGCCTTCTATACGACACATCATGAAGCTGTCATTATTGAAAGTGAATAACTTACACAAGCATCATAAATGACCGCTCCAGCTCCAATGTGTACTCAGGAATTGTTATGCTAAGCGCGTCTAGAGGGCATATTTCGTAATAGATGCTAGGTAGAAATCGGAAATGATTCAATGTAAATTTATATTTAATTTGCTTTGATAGGTAGAGTTTATTAAAGAAATGCTTGCAGTGTACACGTTTTCCATGAAAGAGTTATATGAAATTATATTTTGATTATGAATACATGATTTAAACATTTTATATCGAATGATGTATGAAACAGGGCTTAAGAATCGCACAGAGTGAACCCTGTGAGTAGCGCAATGCATCACAATATCGTGTGCGCTACACGCACACAAACGAACGACGAACAGTTCACAGGTTCTCAAATACAAATGAGTTTACCACTGTCCGTTTAATGTGCGCTCAAATACTCACAGCAGACAAAATAAACATGTTTGTGCCTGTATTTCGGCTATGTTGAACATACTACTACTACTTCTTCTTATTTTTTTTCTTCGACCGAACGAAGATCCGCTCAAAACAGTGGAGAAGTAAGTGAGCAGTGTGCGCACTGCGCACACAACTCAGTTGTTATGAGAAGACCATCGCACACGAGCGCTGTGGCTCTCACTGAAATGAGTTGTACTGTGAACTGAATGTGCGATTCTCAAGCCCTGGTATGAAAAAAAGAAAATTGTGGAATAAAATTATGATTAAAAGGCATTTTTTTGTTACATTATTTACTTATCATTCCTGGGACTGTATGGCTATTACTTTTTCGCAGGCCCATGTCGTGGACTGCGTATAAGTATTGCATTTGGCCCAAATTGTAAGACACCCCAAAAATATGATTTCTATCCGTTTTCGAGGCCGTAGAACACGAAAAAATGGGTTTTAGAGCGATGTTTTGTGAGTCTGTTCCACGTCGTACGTTGTACGCAAATTTTTTAATGTAATTTGTTAACACGATAGCTCAACGACCAGTCGAGATAAATGAGATCTGGTGGTGGCAAAAGTTCGGGCTTGTTTAGACTTAGAAACCATTAGATTTTCATCCACTTCAGATATAGCCTAGGATAACCTAGCCTATGGCCAACCTTTGAAAATCCCTGAAAATTCATACTTTTCTATGGAAGATACCTAAAATAGCCCCCTACATGGTTTTCATCATATCAAACTGCTATTATTTCATCAAAATATTGAGAATTAGAGAGCAAGATTATATCATTTTCCCATGATTTCAGTATCAAATTCGAATTTGTAGGTGAAAATATTGAAAATTTCCGAAATGGTCACACTTTGCGTACAAAATCGGTCATAGCTCACAAACTAACCACCTTATAAAGATTATTGGCAACTATATATCACTTAATTTTTTATGAAGAATCGATTTCCAGTTCAATCGACCGTATCTGAAGTCTCAATGGGGTCAAAAATGCAATTGTTCGCGGTGATATTTTCAACTCGCAATATTTTTTCCACTTGGAATAGAATTTTTGTGCATAAAGCTTGCAAAACGCATACGATTCAGAAATTTCATCTCGCAAACTCCAGTTTTTGTTATAAAATAACGGTGCTATTTGAATAACATAATATTTATTTCTCTACGGCTTTTGTATCATTTCTACATTTTCGTTCCAAATCCCTTGGTAAATACCACTTTTGTATGAAAGTTAAAAGAAACGTTTGAATTCATTTCAATCCAACATTTGAGCATTTTTCCAAAAGCCGTGACGCGATAATTTCTAAATATCACTAGTTTTGAAGGGCATTTTAATATTAACCTTCAGTCCATGCTCTGGGCATACAGTGCCCGAGGCAAATTTTAAATGTAAATACAAGTACTAAAATAAAAAATAGCCACCATAATTATTAATATGAAAACCCATTTTTAATAACATTTTAGAAACGTTTGAAACAATACCGAAAAAGAATATGAACTTTCTTTTTTTTGCTCAGAAATTCTTTGCTACCATTTTTCTTGTTTTTGATTGACAAAGTGAGGTTAAGTATCTACTGACATGTTCAATGTGTAGAACAAATTTGTGCACTCGGTGGAACAAAGCCATTGTGTGTTTAAGGAGCCACTTTATTCCCATGGGCCATGGCTCCTGAAACACATTTTCAAGCTCACTTTGTAGGAAGCGAACGTAAAAAATGAGAAAATTGAATTAATTGATTTCAAAATTCATTTGAACATCAGCAAATCTAAAGAAAACTTAGATAAATATGTTCATGCTGGAAACATTTTTCTAAATTTGATAATGTGGATGTGTCATCCAAATCATTCATTGCATTTAACTAGGAAAGAGAGAAACAACATAATTTTACACAAATATTCATTTTCCACTTGATTTTATCATTTTTATTCACTCCATGAATAATATACGTTCACGAAAATACGTTGTCTTTTTCAAACATAGTAGTTCAAATTCAACGAGTCGTTCTACGAAGGTGCACTTAAGACTGTCTGGCGTGTATTCAATTTGTACTTTATTCTGACAGCCGCGTTGTAATTGATGGTGACAGTTCGGTTTCGCCCCTCTGATATGTGTAAGCATATGTGAGATATGTGTGTTTGTAAACACATGTGCACCGTACGTGCTCTGGGGTATACAGTGCCCGTAGTGAATTTTGGTCCAAAACTCCACTAAGATTAGATAAAGCGACTTGGAGTCTTCAGCGAATTTGTTGTATTTGAGGTTCGCTAAATTTTTGCTGAAGACAGATATCACTTATCTCTTATCAGTTACGCGGAATCCGCGAAAAACGCCAAACACGCAAATACATGGTTTATTATTTTTTACGGAACTGATAAAATATAACGAAATGGTGTCTGCAGCAAAGTTGTAGGGCAGGTCAATTGCAACAACATTGGCGAAGACATCAAGTCGTTATCTCTCATCAGTTTCGCGAAAAACCGCGGGAAAGCGGTTTTTTTCTTATCATTTTTCGCGTAACTGATAAGAGATAACGGCTTGGT